ATAAAGCCGCTAGGTGGATCAGAAGCCAGAACCAACAGGGCAGGCAGGCAAGATTAGTGAAAGAAAATTTTGGATAGATGAGCTACTTTGGAGTAACATAAAAGCACCCATATTTCAGAACCCAAGTTACAGAATTAATTAATCATTAAATGAATATAATTTATAAATATTAATAAATTAATTAATCATTAAATAAATATGTAATAACCATCTATTATCTAATTTCGCTGGTTAAATTTGTAAATCTGCAATATAAATTAATAATTAGTGGAATATAAATAAAATGTGATAAATATGCAAAGATTTTATTTATTTTTTTTTTTAAAACTAAAATAAAACTAATTATTTAGTTAAAAACTAAAAATAAAAATAGAAAAGAAGGGGAAAATGTGAAGTAAAATGAACAGGAACTTTGTTGGGCCGAGTTGGACCGAGTTGACCTCACGTTGGACCAAACCCAAAAAAAAGTCAACAAACCTGACCAAAATAAAAGAAAAATAAAATTTCTTGCCTCTCTCCTTGTCACTCTCTTTCTTTGTCTCACAAAAACCCTAAAAAAGGCAAAGCCCTAAAAACCTCTCATTTCCCCTCAATTTCCCAAATTTTTATTACAATTTTTGTTCTCATGATCCACCGGTAATTAAGCTTATAGTTACTTATTTTTTCATTTCTGTTTTATTGTTGTTGAAAAATTATATGTATCTGATGATTAACTGTTAGTTAATGGTGATTAGCAGGAGATTAATATGACACAACCGTCGGTAATACTAGCAACCGCCAGCTATGATCACAGTATTCGCTTTTGGGAGGCGAAAAGCGGTCGATGTTACCGTACTATTCAATACCCTGACTCGGTCAGTTCTTTTCTTTTTTTTTTTTTTTTCGAATCTGTCGTTTTTATTTCATATTTAGTGTAAAGTCTTAATTTTTTAGGAATTAATGGTTTTGTTTATTCGAAATTCTGGTTGTGAAATGAAATAAATGAATATTGACCATCGATTATAATTTTTATGTAATTCTACTTGTTATAATTATTGTAAATTTATTTAATTTTATTCTTCTTTTGTATTTATATATATTTGAAATTTCCTTCAAAAATATATATTTGAAAATTGGATAAACTTATTTGGGACCAATGATGTAATCCTGTTGTGGATGCACTAAGGTTTGTTATTGATATATATTTTCGGACCTATTTGTGCATTTTAGTTTGTTTAATTATTTTGGTGCGCAAATTGAAGGCCTTGATTTGAGCCTCTGTTCCTAATTTAATTATAAAAAAGAACTAGACAAAGAAGCCCCTGCATTGAAGATTAATGATCGGTTTTTGATGACCACGCGGGAAAAAGATGAATGATATACGGCAGACCTACTAGATATCTTTAAATAGGGATGACATTAGGCTGGTAAAATTGGAGGAAGAACATTTATGTAGCCAAAAGTAGCTAGTGAGCTGCGTTGCGTGGTCAATGCTGAATTTCTGTTCTTCTTAAAATCATATTTAGATATGTTGCCTTTGAGAAAGTGAGGAGTAAATGAAGTTTTTGATTCGACTTAGTTTAGTTGTATGTTTCTGGATCTGTAAGTTTTTTTATGTGCGAAATCTAGATGTTTCTCTTAGTTTCTCATTGGTCCAATGGTACTTTTTTTAACACAAAAACTTCTATTTGTTGTAAATGTTTTGTATGGGATTTAATTTTGCCATGTCATGCCTGCAGCATGTTAATCGGCTTGAGATAACCCCAGACAAGCACTATCTGGCTGCAGCTGGTAATCCTCACATTCGTTTGTTCGATATTAATTCCAACAGCCCTCAACCTGTACGTTTTCCTCTACTTTCTGGATGATTTTCATGGACTTTGTTCTCTTACAATTAGTCTTCTTTTTTCCTTTTCATGCCATTGACTTTTGATTGGGAATTATTTTTTGCTTCTATACTTAATGGTTATATGGCAGGTAATGAGCTATGATTCGCATACAAATAATGTTATGGCTGTAGGATTTCAATGTGATGGTAACTGGATGTATTCTGGTTCTGAGGATGGCACTGTAAAAATTTGGGATTTAAGGCAGGTTAAATTGTGCCTAAAGACATGACACATTTATTTATTCAAATGGGTTTCTCTTTTTTTATTTTTTTATTTTGGATTTCATTTAGACTTATTTCTCATTTTTAAGTCTAATGCAGAGCTCCAGGTTGCCAAAGGGAATATGAAAGCCATGGTGCTGTTAATACTGTTGTCTTACACCCAAATCAGGTGATTATGTATCACGTAAATCTTGCAGTGTTAATTGCTTGAATTTTTTGCTGAATGTGCTATTATGTTCCATATAATTGTAGTTTCAAAAGAAAACATTTTGACGTTCTTCTTTGCTATTTTCTCGACCAGCATTTACCTAGTGAAACCCAATAGTTTTTCTTGTTGCTCTTATTCATTTTTTCTCACTTGTACAGCATTGATTGATAGATATGTTTTCTTAATTGCATATCCATGGTTTTGTAGACTGAGTTGATATCTGGTGACCAAAATGGTAACATTCGTGTATGGGATTTGACAGCTAACTCTTGCAGCTGTGAATTGGTATTCTTTTCTTTCTTCTATCTTCATTATATTTTTCTTTCTTCATCTTGGATTTGATGTTTTCAATTAAGAACATATGTGTGACTTGTCTTTAGCACCAACATGAACTTTGTGCCTTTGTGGTTATCTATATTGGTAGTTCTATACCATATTAAAACTTGAGTTCTGTTGATAATAGGAATTTCTTTTATTTTCTCATTGACACAATTATGAAAAAGCTCCTTTAAAATATATATTCATGAGTTTCCGAAATATAACTGTTTTAAAGCTGTGTGGATGAGTTTGGAAACACTTGGGGATAGCTGTTTTGGCCGTCACATGAAAGAAAATAACTGATTGGATTTTAGACTGCTGTTTTAATAACTTGTAGCGAGGAAATTGTTTATGGTATTTTTAGGCTGTTTTTATGATATCTATACACTTAAATAGTTTTCATGTACTCCAAGCTGGCTGGAAATGCTATAATGGACATCCCACTCTCTTACCTGCTTCTTTCCCTCTCGCCATATCTGCTTCTCTGCCCCTCTTCGTCCTATCCCCCCTTCCATATCCACCTATCCGCATAGACTCAGTCATGCACCTGAAAATGATTTACATTGAGTTGTCATTGTTATCAAATCTGTAAATTTGTAAACCTAGGTGCCTGAGGTTGATACAGCTGTGAGGTCTCTTACAGTAATGTGGGATGGAAGCCTAGTAGTTGCTGCAAATAATCGTGGCACATGTTATGTTTGGCGCCTCTTAAGAGGAAACCAGGTTACTTTTATCTCTGATTTAATCAATTGTCTTTATCAACTTATAATGTTTTGCCTTATGAGGCATTGTTTTTTCTTGCAGACTATGACCAACTTTGAGCCACTTCACAAGCTACAAGCGCATAATGGATACATTCTCAAATGTCTCCTTTCTCCTGAGTTTTGTGATCCCCACAGGTTCTACTGCTTAATATTAAATTTGGTTTTTCTTTTTACGTTTTTTATTTCTTACAGGAACCAACTAATTTTGTGTCTACATTGAGATGCTAGTGTAATTGCTGTTAACATATATTTCAGATATTTGGCCACTGCATCTGCTGACCACACTGTCAAGATATGGAATGTTGATGGCTTCACATTGGATAAAACTTTAATAGGTATCCACTGAAGTCTCAACTTTTAAGCCATGCTATCATTTCGACCACACATATATTAAGCCAACTGTAAATTGTTTTTGAAGGGTTTTCAATGTGTTTTTTTGTGTTATTATGTATCAGGACATCAGCGCTGGGTGTGGGACTGCGTTTTCTCAGTGGACGGTGCCTATCTCATAACAGGTATTTAGCTTTAATAGTGCATGTCTAAATCATGCACACTGGCCTCCTTAATCCATTATTTTTAGCTTGCCTTGGTGTGATGGGGTTAACTTTTGTGTGCTGGTCAATTAACACCTGTCTTTTCTAACCATTTGGGTGCGCTCTCTACGATTATTTTATCCACACATCTCAATGCCAGAATCACATAGACTCTAGTAAACCATCAGATGCTACCGACCCAAATCATGGAGGCATCCGGCTCCCCATATAATATTGAATTTTATCTGTCTTTTGGTGCATGCTCGCCAGTTTATTAAACCCTAACCCTAAATCTTAAACGTGTGAAGATTCTTCTTTTCCCTCCACTTTCTCTTGCTAGAAGTTTTGCATGTAAGATACACAACTAAAGGGTTTATTACCATTTGCACATGCTTGTTTAGCAGAGGCCTACACCTGGATCTGCTAGGCCTACTCAACAACCTAAAAGTTTGAATTTTCATTTGGATCTTTTTTACACCTTATTGTCCCTTTTCAGTCAAATTCTTTCCCTTATGAACGGATTTCGTGTATAAGCTTAGATGTTCCATAATGCTCAAAGAAAAAAGGGTTCTAATAACTGAATTTGATCCCATTTTGACGAAATGTTTGTGTATTTGACCATGCAGCTTCTTCTGATACAACGGCTAAGCTTTGGTCCATGTCAAATGGTGAAGAGATTAAGACATATCAAGGGCATCATAAAGCAACTGTTTGCTGTGCACTACATGATGGAGCTGAGCCTTCTACATGAAACAGATATGTGTCTCTATTATTATCCATTTGTACAAGTTGTACAGTGATCTTAGTGGTGTGAATTGTTACAATGCCTGTTTTCCAAACGAGCTGTTTGATGTTGTATTACTTCTGCATCCATTTCATGAGCTGAAATATCTGACTTTCAAACTAAAATAACAATAAATAAAGTTTAGTCAGAAATTGAATCAAGCAAACTGGTTGGATTAAAGCCACCAAAAATTGATTGAAAAAGAAAAATTATAAATAAAAGTGATGAACCCAAAATAATGAGAATTTTTTATTCAAATAAAAAATATTTTGTGAAAAAAAAAGTAAAACTTCTAAAAATTATCAAAATAAAATGCAAAATCCAGAATTGAAATTTTTGGTCCTTAATTGATAAAAATACAAGATGGGGTCCTAAATTTTGGTTGTGTAAATAATAGATCCCAAAAGTTTGTTTTAGCCGAGCTTCTACCAACATACTTTTCAGTCTCGCTTGCCAAATATCAGGAAATGAAAATGAAAGCTTTTATTGAAGAAAACGGCAGACAACAATTAAGGCATATGTACATGTTTTTAAAACGTTTCAACATTCAAACACTGCTATATCCACTAAAGAGATCTCAAAACGTGAGACTGGGACTAGCCTAATGTAAACATTGCTGCTACAGCCATTGTAACTGTATGTACAAAATTACCATAATTTACCAGAAAAACAAAGAATTGATACTGCATACAGATTAGTGTCACCTGATGACCCAAAGAGATGCTTGAGAGAAGTCTAGAGTTGAGTGGAAGTGATACAGACTATATATTTTAGGTTTATGGAAATGACTGTAGATGAGGTTCCAGCCATACGGATATCTTGGGAGGAAGCTCGATCTACTGCTGTTTGTCCCGTCTTGCCTCCAACTCTGAACTCTCCCCGTCATTCTTGGGCTTCCCTGGTGCAACCTTGGCAGGAGTTGAACGCTCTGACTGAGAGAAGAGAATCAAGATTTGCATGAGGAAGGTAACAATGGCCAAGCCAAATGCTGACAATGCAATGCCCTTCCATGAGGATAAAAGGGAAGACCATTGCAGGAACTTGAGAGCCCCATAAGCCACAAGACATGCCCAAGAGATAACAACCTGACCAAGAATAAGAATATTGTTCATCATATTAGTTCCAGAAACAACTCTTACAACACCAAAAGAAACAAGACAATGTCACACTAACCGAAGATAATCAAAATGAAGATTGGTTAATTTGACACAGAACGAATCTCACCAAAAGAGACTTAATTGGCCGACCAAGATCCTGCAATGGTTGGTCACTGAAAGAGTCCTCAGCTATATGTTTGTCCAACAACTTGTCCTATAAGAGACATCAAACAGAAACAAAACAATAAGTAGGAAACGAATCCATGGACTACTGCAAGCATAAGAATAAAGATGATTAATCATTAAACATAAAAACACAAAGATACACAACCTTGTCAAGGTTAGAGTAATCCTTCTTTTCATTTTCAAACATATAATTATCTTAGACATGTATGAAAGACCACCTAGAACAGCACCCTGCTACAACAATAGATGAATAATACCCACCTTCTCCACAAACAGATCTTTACACCATTGTGCAACAGCCTCGTCTGTTGCAGGCAGTTCCTTCATGAGACGCCGCTTGAGGTGTACATGCACCTGCAAGCAAGTGAAAGATTATCTTAATCAGTTGAATAAACCCAACAGAACTGCAAGCCATTCATTTATCAACTAAGATATTTAAGATCAATGACACTTGCAGGTTTAATCATCTCAATTTTAGAATGTCAGAAATGTTTCAACTATAGGAAAACATGGAAATGCAAACACTTTTTCAGCATGACCTAAGACTATTCTCAGTGAGTTGCTTCCATAGTTCAACCTAGCAACTCAACCAATTCCATGCTGCCATAAAGTCACCACAAGTATTTAACTGATTAATGACATGCCCATGACCAACAAACTTGTTGGCCTTCACTCCAGCGATACTAAAAGATCAGATAAAAGATGCAAAAAAATTATGAAGCATGCCCTTCACTTCCTGTTGTCATTAGAGATATTTGACAGCAAATTATGCCTGATGATAATAAAAAATTTAGAAGTGAAATCCTCAAGCAGACATGCATCAAATTCTCCAAGGACATATCAATATGAAACAAAGCGAAAGCAATGTTAATATTCAAAGTCAATACATAATTATGCAAAGATATTTAACTTGCTTTACACAGTTAGCTTGAAATCTGACTTACCACAGAAGATTGCCCCTTGAAAAGTCTAACCATTGTAGGTGAAGGTGAGGTTTTTGGAATAGCCACTGTCATATCATAAATGGCTGGGACAAATGAACGCATATGACTTACAGCTGAAACAAAACCCTGAAGCAACAGAAATTATTGATATTTCAGGCATATGTATTTCATATGGAATTAGAATTAGTGAGGGCCATTAACAAAATAAAGAACTTCATTATTACAAATGAGAGAAGTTAAACAACGTGCAACATGATTAACTTTCAACTATGGGACGGGGTCCATATGTGAGAGTGCACAGATGTATCAGGGCTGAGGCTGGTTAAGCATTGAACAACTGTACCAAAGAAGCAAACTTGCATTGGCCAGCAAGTTAGTTTTTGGCAGGAGGTTGAAACAAAATCTACCTATAATTGAACGAAATACTGTATGGTAAAATTGAAATACCATAAATCTTATACTGAAAGAATGCTATCAACTTGAGTACCAAAATCTAAATTCAGGTACACAAACACACCCGTATATATAAGGTACCTAGATAAATCATGAAAAGAAATTCAAGAAAATCGGAGCAGCAAGAATCTGACCTTTGTACGAGGAATTAAAACATTTCTGGGTATAGGCAATCCTTGTGAGGTTGCATATTCTTGAGCAGCTAGAAGCTTTGCTTGTGTAAAGCGAGTTCCTTCAACAAAAAGTGCCAACCAAAAGGGTTGTGGGAAGTCCTTTAAACGTTGAAGGCCTGCCTGCAAATATAATTCCACAAGATTTTGACGAGATCTATAAGGTAGTTTAAAAACAAGCATGAACAAGCACACAAGTCAATACAGCAATATTTATGGTCATATATGTGTATACTGTATGGAGAGCATATGTAATTCTTGATACACATGCATTTACTAAATTAAAAGCAAACTTTTACCTTTAACGTGTTTTCATCCTTGGCCCAGCTTCGTTCCAAAAACAAATACTCAGAAAACCACATTGACCAACCTATGACCTGCACATATTAGACACGATTTTATTATTCATAATTATGCAAAAGTAAAACCATGTTTGCTTCTTTAATAAAGAAACTTTAAAAATAAAATGTGACATTTACTAGCATGCAGCAGAACCAAAACACAGTGAGATGCCCAGATGGCAAGTAAGGCATAACAATAATAATAATAAAATAAATAAACTAGATTTCAATCCTTTCACTGCATCACCTATAATGAGAAAGACTGGCACTAATTGTCACTCTGAAGTACAAAACTAACAGTAGCAAGCTCTTAATAGCATTTGCTTCATATTATTCTAATTCAGGTAAAAGAAAGTAGGATCCAAGTGTTAATAATCAGAAACTGAAGGCCAGTCAAACAAAAGAAGTTAGAGAAGAAAAGAAAAACAATAAACTACTACTTCAACAGGAGAACTGCTTCTCCATCACCCATATGAACTTCATGAATAAATATGACCATATTCACAAAAAATACTAAGATCATCCCTCTCTACTTCAGACAAACTCACTTCATACATGATATGCAAGCCGAACTTTGAACTCTGACCAAGACTACTAGATTTTCAAGTGAACAATCCTACTCCAGTTCTCAAAAACAGAAGCTAATGTAACATAAAATAAAACTGAGGAACTTAGACCAGAGTGCCTCATTAGTCTTCTTAATTTTCTTTGAAAAAAAAAATAGCATTTAAACTTACTTGCTGCTCATTTACTTATCTCATTAATTACCTACTGAGCTAATCACATCTCATGCGTTTACACGCATGAACATGTGTACTCGAGCATACACAAATGTGTATTAAAATACCATGTACATGGCATCTTCATCAGCTATTACCATTCAAAATTGAAGACTAAATATAAATATCAGCTGAAACTAAAAGAATTGGTAACAAACACAATCTCACTATTGAAAGTTGAAACTTCAAACAAATAACACCAAGACATACCGGAAGGAATTTTGATGATTTCTTCATCACAGCTAATGCACTGCCAAGACAACCTGATCGCTGTCAAAAGCAAATTTAATTGTATCTCAGCCGCAGAAAGCATTTTAAGAGAGAAAAAAATAAAGTTAGAATGCCAAATAGCAAATTTCCAAGCAGTGCTAAATATTTTTTTGAATGCACATTTCATTATGTAAAAAATTCTGAGTTGGAATACATTAATTACAGACCTGAGCCAAAACCCATCCAACTAACCAATCAATATCACTTCTGTGATTGGCTAAAACAAGGGCATGTTCCTTACCTGAAAAATTTTACAATATGAGATGAAAAGTAAACAATTCAAAAGATTTAGGATAGAACAATACCCATTATACATGTAGCTTTAAGACCAAGAACTAAGTTTCTTAGTAGGGGAGATTGACATTACCCATTAAATTGAAGCTTTCATGATCTGCAAAAACTTTAATCTGCAAATAAAATGTCTCAAAGATCAAAAGCTAATTTTTAGGAGACTACTTAAGATATGGCATCCATCATACCAGTTCTTTATCCAAATTAAGAAAAGTTGGCTCCCTAACAGCCAATAATTAACACCCCACTCATATAACATCTATCAGCCCTTAGAGAAGATATAAAACTTCACAACAATAGTTCAACTCATATTTGCGTAATTATCTAGATGAGTAGACAATGCACCAAGCCAATGGACACCAAAAATAGTAGTTGGGCAAAAAGCTTTCATCTAACTAAAGCATACCCAGCAAATGGGATCAGCCAGTCACTGGAGGCATGTAAATTTTGAAAATGCACAATGATCTCATTTACTATTACCTTTGTGTAAGTAACATCCTATCTCAAGTTGAGATTGTGAAATTTCCATTCACATTCATTGACCGAAAATATTGCCACCTTTGGAATCCCAAAGGAAGCAGTTAAAACCTTCAAGTGCAGTCTTCATCTTGGTACTTAGCATGTAAAGATTATTTTTGAGACCTACTTTTTATAAGTCTAGTTGGAAATGGAAATATAAAGCATTTAGCATTTGATCATCATAAACTGCCGTCTCAGATTACAACATTAAACTATACTATGTCAGAAAGAATTTCAGCATAAAACTATACTATCTTCAAAAATGCCCAAAAAAGTAATATCCAGCGATTAAAAACATATTATTTTAAACAATGAAATAAAGGAGCTCATTAACACCTTAACTCCCGCCCACCAATCAACAAGCCATACGAGTTCCAGCCACAACAACTCTGCCACCACCCGATTGATCTTTCTATACGTGTTCTTGGACAGCGGCCGGATGAGAACATAGCATACTGCCTGAAAAAAAAAAAAAGGGATCACATTGTATAACATGAAAAATGGTCATTGACAAAGAGATCCAATTAAAAAAAAAAAAAACAAGATTTGCACATCAACCAATGAATCAAACTGAACCAACTCGTCTAACACAGTAAATTCTGATTGCCACAAAAACAAAGGCAACAAAAATGGACTCTTATATCCCATTTTTAGCATTAAAATGGTATCCAGTAAAAAGGTAAGCAAACAAGGCAACAAACGCAGAAGTTGTATCAAGCTGAAAACAAAGATCCCAATTTATTTATTTTTCCTAAATTTTATTAGCTCAAAGGTAAAGTAGATTCAAAACCCAGAAGTACATGGAGTTTCATTAATAATCTCAGCTCAAAAGTGAAAAAAAAAAAAAAAGAAGAAGAAAGAAACAGAGAAACCCATTTACCAGCATTTTTCTAACGCAACCATAACAAGTTTTAAAAGAAAACTAGAGACCCAGAAAGCAATATTACCAAAGAAAAGAGAAAAAAAAAATCCACTTAACTCAATCAAACCAAACGACGAAGCCAATACCTTAAGAACTAAAAACAAAACCAAATCTACAAAAAAAAAAAAAAAAACCTGAATGAGATTGACAACAAGGCCGGAGATGAAGAAGAGAAGACCCAATGGGACGATGACAGCTGCCGCTGCAATCGCCATGGACGCCACCACCACTCGAGCTCTCGAGATTCGTACAAAAGGATGGGTTTGTAGTGAGATTTTAGACTGAATTGATTTATAAAAACAGAAGATTATAGCAAATCTTTCCTCTTCTTTTATATATATATATATATATATATATATATATTGAGAATTGTTTATATATTTAATAGTGATGTGAAAGTGTGCCAAGAGACATAAGAATAGAAAATGACATGCTGAAAAAAAAAAAACGAAGATAATATTAAATTATTTAATTATTACTCATTTGATTTTGAAGTTAAAAATATTATAAAAACAAATTAAATTTTATGGTTAAAAAATTTTGAAATTAATAGTAATTTCAAAAAGATTTCATCTTCCATCTATTTTAACTTTGATAATTTAAACTTTTAAATTTTAAATATAAAAATTTAGCTTAATTTGAATTTAATTTTAAAATATAAATAAATGTACAAATTATTTAATATATCATTAAAATAAGATGTTTACGTAAGCACGCTTTATTGGATAAACTTTCATCTTGTAATATAATATATGATATTATATAATATGATTATGACGTAGAAGGAACCTTACAGTGGAAGGACACTACAATTGTCTTTTTCGTCGTGTCATTTATTTATGTCTTTCTTTGTCTTGTTGTTTTTGACAGGTAAGACTTCAAGCATTTTTTCTTTGCCCAAAAAAATAAAATAATAATAAAATAAAGCGTTTTCTCTTCGTCGGCTTTGACATTAATTTCAACCACTCCAACGGTCTGCATTGAATTTTTTTTTTTTTTCATATTGAAAGGTTTTGATTTTAAAGGTATCTGACTAATAAAAATAATTTTTATTCAATTTAAATTTTTAAATATTAAAATATCATTAAAATATTTTATTATATTTTACTGTAAAATAATTTGTAAAATGGGTGGTTGGACAACACTTGCGCTTGGCTCTTAAAATTTAAGATTGGTCCAATCTAACTCTGACTGTGCCGGATTTTGGGACATCTCAATTTTGATCTTCATATACATAATAATAGTTAGTTTAATTTTATATCATATTAGATCATATATTTATATTTGCTTCTTAAATTTTGAACATAAAAATTAAAACCAACAAATTAAAATTCTAATCTTTTTGAAAAATAAATTTACTAATACCTACTTTCTAAAATGTCGTGAATTAAAAGAATTTATATTTAATTTAACAATCGACAATCTTAAAGATTAAGATTTGAATTTGTTATGAAAAAATAATTTTTATAAATTTATTAAATTCATCGTAAATAAATTTATTTAAATCCAACACATAAATATATATATATATATATATACTTAGTAAAGCTCAAAAACATCTTATCGATAAATATATGTATCTATCGTCGAATGTACTAAAGTGGCATTAAGGATCTTTTTTACAATATGCAAATGATTTAATTATTGAACCAAAAAATATTTAATTATTAGTGCATAATAAAATATCCCTTAAGCAAGATTTTAAATATGATATCACGAGTTGATTTGGAAGGAATGAAGATAATGGGTTGTGAATTGGGATTAAAATGGATGAAAAAATTAAAGACCTAAATTAAATGAGTTTGATCTCCAAACCTTTTGAAATAAAGCAAATCACATGCAACTGCCATGTTTAACAAAACTCTAATTATAGGAGACATAATGGTAAGTTAGTATAGGGTTGGTCCAACTAAAATTCACAAAACATTGAGGCATACCATTTTAATATTGAATTTATGATCTCATACTCTAATTAGGGTTTACTATAGATTTCACTCTTGAGAATAGATTAGTATAGGGTTGGTCTAGCTAAAATTCAAAAAATGAGGCATTCCATTTTAATATTGAATTTATGATCTCATACTCAAATTAGGGTTTGTTATAGATTTACTCCTGAAAATAGATTGTAGGGTGACATTGATAATTACTATTAAAAAAAGAAAAAAAAAAGAAAAAAAGTTTGTCATAATTATTATTGAAATTAAAAGAATAATGAAAATATTTTTATTTTTATGTTACACCCTTACAACCACATTGTCAAATATTACATATGACCTCAACTCAAAATTTTTCTATTTTAAAAAAAATATTTCATCAATATGAGTGTTGGAATGTGTCTTAAAATTTTAACTTTAGCACTTTCTAACCTTTTTTTCTTATCAGATCTCATAAATTCACCACTTAATCTTTAAAAAGTTTAACTCTCGTTTAACCTAAAATTACATTAATATTTTTTTTTTGGAAATACTATTTTATTGAAAATTATTAATTACATAGATACTAGTGTGATAATTTTTTATTGAATTTTGTCATTCAACCTTGGCTCTTTTATTTTTTTACCCCTTTTTTGGCATATAATGTTATGGTTTTCAATTTTCTTTTGTTTCTCTATCAAGCTTTTGGATCTTCTTGAATATTATCACTTTTTTTTTTAATTTCATTGTTTTTCCCTTTGAATTATCTTATCACTTGTTAATTTTTTGTTTTATGCTTAATTCCCAATATCTTTTTAATTGTCATTTTCTTTTTGACCAAATGTTTGTTTTTTCATTTTATATGTTGTATGTGTGATTTTTTGGCATCAATGTATCATTGCTAAAAAAAATTTATGAAATAATGAGCTTAAATCCTTATTTATTGTTAAAATAAAAGATTTGAAAAATGATAAACAATTTTAAATATTCATAACTATTTAATTTTTTATTTGGAAAATAAATAAATAATTTATTTTGAACTTTTGATATGTAGATTATAAAAAAAAATTATTAAAAATGATAGCTTTAGCTTTGCTTCCAACGGTCAAAAGAAGTTTAAAAACCCCCCCAGCTGTTAAGCTATTTCTTCCCTGACGTTACAAAGTCACAACAGCTCTTTCCTTCTTCACTATTTCTCCATTAAAAGCCTCTATCTTAGCTTCATTTTCAACAAGTTTAGAAGCTTCAGGAGTCTTAACACCAGACCAAACCTTACTCAATCTCCCTTTTTTTTTATTTGTTTCATTTTTCCTCTTCAATTTCTTTACACATAAAACTTTGCTTATTGATTTACAGTTTCTAACTTTCTTTGCTTTTGTTTTTATGTCTGTTTTCTGGGTTGGAGAATGGAGCACGAAAACATAGACTGGAACAACATAGAATCTATATTCGAAGAAGACGACACGTACGAGAATATCAATGCGCCTAAATGGGTTGATCTTTCTGCTCCATGTGAAACTATAGATGATGAAGCCTGGTTCTGCAAACCTGGTACAGCCTTGTGTCTTTGTACGCTGTTTGGTTTCTAAGAAAATAATGGAAATAATTGAGAAAGATAACTTATTTCATGAACCCATATTTTAATTTTTTTTTATCTTCATAATAGTTCGAAATTAATGCAGGTTGCAAGCATCCGAAGTGTGCCGAAGATTATCTTAAATCAAAGCACTACTCTAAGGTTCTTATGCTTTCTTCTTTTTGTTTATCATTTTAATATAATGCTTCAAGTATAAAGTTTCCTGATTTGCTGTTCTTTTTTTCTCTTTTTCAGGTGAAGCTGCTAAGGTCTATGACTATATCTGAAATTCTTCCTTTCAGGGACAGAACCCGCAGGTACAAATTTGTTCAGAAAACAATTTTCTAAAATTAGAAACAAAGATGGATTCAAAGATTTTTATTTTAAACCAGTGTGTTATCTTTGTTGCAGAGAAGCAAAGGCTAAAAATGGAGAAAAATGGTCTAAACCTGCACAAAGTTTAACCGTAGACAATGAGAACAGGAACCCAAACTTATCTACTCCACCTCTCAGTGCCAAGACTATGCCAAACAAATTGGCAAAGAAATCATCTATGAAGGAGAAAACTCTGTTGGATGATTTAAGAGACAATTCAGCCAAGTCTGATGGGAAGCGGGGTTTGAAGAGTACTTTCTCTGCGCGTAATTTGGGAGCAGGACGAGAGATTTTAAGTCAGATCACTGAACTCTGCGCTGAATTGAAGAAAATGGCAAGGAAGGGTTCGAAAAAAGGAGCATCAGAGAAGGCTTCGGGTGGTGTTTTGGGTGAATTGAAGGAGAGAGTTAGAGAAAGAGAGAGGACGCCTCTGCTTGTGGTTAAAGATAGGGAAGGCTAGAGATAGTAGTGTAAATGAAACAGGGGGAAAACAGAGAATTACTGTAAATTTTATTTTACTTAATAAAAACTATGCTTGATTCCATCCTTTTCATAGCAAACATCTTCCTGTTTTCTTTCCAAAATCTCCGAATCCTGCTTGTAAATTGTAATTTTGATCAGAGTCCGTCAAGATATTTGTTTAATCACTGTTTTCCTTGGTGGTTTTGAATATGCATTCGAGCACCAGAGAACCAATGATGCATGTTTCAGAGAAGTGTGTCAAAACTGGTCAGCTGGATATGGACAAGAAAGCCGATATCCCAAGATATGCCAATTGATTCAAGATTATTAACCAAAGAGAATAAGATTCAGGATGCAGGATTTTGTTACAATTTTTTTTTTTTTTATGGATTGTCACCATTTTTTAAAGAGTATTTAAAAGAATACGGGACAAAGAAAATTGTTTGGGGAAGTGAGGAGGACCGAGGGTTTATTATCTCATAAGCAGTGAATTCACTGCTACCAATGAACTGCACAAAAATTATAGGTACAACTTCACATGAATTATACTACAAAATTTTCTCATTTTAGATCCCATTTCTCACATAACATTTTGTTGACCTCATATGCAATATTGTATAATCCCCACAATCGAAACCGGACAATATCCTTGATCTGTTTCACAATCTGCTCCCTGCGCATTCCACATTGTTAAATTGCCTTTGATTCCTTTCCTACCAAGCAACTCTAAGTAGGATAGATATGAGCGATTTCCCTTTGAGTTTCTCTACTGCCCACTTAAACTCATTTTCCCAGCTAACTACCTCCCTACTCAGATTACAAAGTTGCAAAACCTGCTTCCTTGCAGCCTTTGAATAACTGCATCTAAAGAAAATATGGTTCCTACTTTGACTTGCAAGAAAATATACTGCTACTATAAATAGTAACTAGTACCATTCAAAGTTGCATTTCCTTTCCGTTGAGATAGAATCGGACAAAGGTAGGCGAAGGAGTCGTTCTTCCTAGCCAGAAACTTCTTAACAATCTTCTTACGTAGCCAGTTTGATCTGGTTTCCACGTCTTAATTACGTAAACATTTTTTTGTATATTACCAAAGTCCCTATAATTAGTGTAACTCAACTTCTTTTTTTTCTGGCCGTCTTTTACAGTTCGATTTCGTTGTCAAAAAAGTTTGAATCTCATGCATGCAAAATTAATGACATTGTATCGTGAATATTAGCCAGAGGGTGTAGGCCTTTGTTTCTCCTTTTCATTTGTCTTTGTTAGCCAAGTTGTTTGTGCTTGGTTCAAAAATGGCTACCAACAATGCAACCGCTGCCCATGTTTGCCCTGCACCAATGAAGGCAACGTCCAATGGATTTTTCCAGAATGAAAATCCACTCGATTTCTCTCTTCCATTGCTCATTGTTCAGATAATTTTAGTGGTTGGTTTTACCAGAATCCTTGCTTTCATTCTTCGACCTTTAAGGCAACCTAGAGTCATTGCAGAGATTATTGTAAGTTCTAGATTAATCTGCATATATGTTTCCCTATTTCCATCTTCATTTCAGCCTTTTGTTTCTTTATTCTGAAGATTAAGATGAGCAATTTCTAACTCTATTGTTTAAGCAAATCACCAGGGAGGGATTTTGCTTGGTCCTTCTGCCTTGGGAAGAAACGAGGTGTTTTTGAACACTATTTTCCCAAAAAGAGGCATGACCGTGTTGGACACCCTAGCCAGCATTGGCCTGCTCTACTTCTTGTTTTTGGTGGGTCTTGAGCTTGACATTCGAGCAATTCGTCGCACAGGCAAAAAGGCCTTAGTAATAGCCGCTGCAGGGATCACTCTTCCATTTATTCTTGGTATTGGTACATCAATTGTTCTCCGTGCTACCATCAACAAAGGAGTTAGTCATTTAGCTTTCCTTGTGTTCATGGGGGTTGCTCTCTCTATAACGGCCTTTCCTGTCCTTGCTCGTATTCTCGCCGAGCTCAAACTTCTTACAACCGATGTTGGCCGCATAGCAATGTCTGCTGCAGCTGTCAACGATGTTGTTGCCTGGATACTTCTCGCACTTGCAATTGCACTCACGGGTTCTGACAATTCTCCCTTCGTCTCTGTATGGGTGCTGCTTTCTGGAACAGCTTTCATTTTATTTGCCATTTTCGTATTGAAACCAATACTTTCATTGATGGCTAGGCGTTCTCCTGAGGGTGAACCTGTGAAGGAGCTCTACATTTGTATTACACTATCACTAGTATTGGCGGCAGGTTTTGTCACGGATACCATTGGCATTCATGCACTCTTTGGGGCTTTTGTGGTGGGCATAACAGTACCCAAAGAGGGTCCTTTCGCCGGTGTGTTGATAGAGAAGATAGAAGATCTAGTTTCTGGGCTTTTCTTGCCTCTTTACTTTGCATCTAGTGGATTGAAAACCAATGTTGCAACTATTAAAGGAGCTCAATCATGGGGATTGCTAGTGCTTGTTATATTCAGTGCTTGTTTTGGGAAGATTGCTGGCACAGTTGGTTTATCAATGTTGTTCAAAGTACCTTTCACGGAAGCTCTGACACTTGGATTCCTTATGAACACGAAAGGCCTGGTGGAACTCATTGTCCTGAATATAGGCAAGGACCGCAAGGTATATATATTTTTTGAAATTACTATCTCTTGAATTGCTCCACAACTTTCAGGTATTTAATTGAAATTTATGCAACTAACCGTTCGCATTGTTCCATTGCAGGTGCTCAACGACCAATCTTTTGCTATCTTAGTTCTAATGGCATTATTTACTACCTTCATCACAACTCCAATTGTGATGGCTATTTACAAGCCTGCTAGAAAGGGACAGTCTTACAAGCATCGGAGGATTCAGCGCAAGGAACTTGATACAGAGCTCCGAATCCTGGCTTGTTTCCATAGTACTCGTAACATTCCTACTCTGATCAATCTGATAGAGTCATCTCGAGGGATTCAGAAAAGGGGACACCTCTGCGTATATGCTATGCATCTTATGGAACTCTCGGAACGATCATCAGCCATTTCAATGATTCACAAAGCCCGCAAAAATGGTCTACCCTTTTGGAACAAGAACCGTGAGGGTCAAGATCAAATGATCATTGCATTTGAGGCCTATCAGCAGCTAAGAAGCGTCACCATCCGCCCAATGACTGCGATCTCTGCTTTGAATAGTATCCACGAAGATATTTGCACGAGTGCAGATCGAAAGCGAGCTGCCTTTATTCTAATGCCATTCCACAAGCACCAAAGACTAGATGGAACAATGGAGTCTTTAGGACACTCATTCCATCTAGTCAACCAACGAGTCCTTCGACATGCCCCTTGCTCTGTCGGAATTCTTGTAGACCGTGGTCTGGGAGGCACCACCCAAGTTGTTGCTAGTGAAGTGTCCTACTCGGTGGTGGTGCCTTTCTTTGGGGGTAAAGATGATCGTGAAGCACTTGCGTTTGGAATGAGGATGGCTGAGCACCCTGGAATCAAGCTCACTGTCCTTAACTTTACACCCAAAGCTGGAATGTCACTAGATCCTAAAGCTTATGCTGGAGCTGATGAATCAGACATGGACAACGAAATTTTCTCTGAGTTCATTAATTTAAGCAAGAGCAATGAGTCAGTAAGACATGAACAGAAAACAATGGAAAGCAAAGAAGACATAATTGCTGCTTTGAGATCAACGAGAAACTCTAGCCTGTTTTTGGTAGGAAGAACGTCTCCAGCAATGTCATTGATGGAGAGGAGTACCGAATGTCCTGAACTAGGCCATGTTGGAAGCTATTTAGCCTCATCAGATTTCTCCACAACTTCATCCATTTTGGTGGTCCAACAATATGATCCTTCAACAAATGCCATGGAAAAACCTCTAAATGACAGCAGTGAGGTTTAAAATGCAGCAGAGCCAGTTGCTGTGTGAGGGATTGAGAGCTCCGTTTTATTTTATAGATCAATACTAATAATATCTCTTCCTCCGCGATAGCAATCACTTTTGGAAAAATAACAAGGTTACTGATGAATGATATTACAATGTAACGAATGAAGTGTAGCTTCACCCCACTGATGAATTCTGATCTTCTTGTCCGCTCAAATCTGAATTGTGCTCCAATAATGAATCATTCATATGCTAAAGGTAAAAATAGTTGATTATTTTATTAATTAAATTTAAAAGATCATGAATTAAAGCGATGCATTTTTCAAAGGTAAATGATTTTTACTAATTACAAGCCATAAGATTGGGTAGTCTTAGTTTGCATTCACTTTAGGTAAATTGTATGTTAATGTATTATAGGTGAATGTTTTATCGTTGTATTTTAATTTTATTGAATTTTATTGCTGTACTTTTAATTTTGTTGATTTTTAAATTAATTAAAATTAATATAAATAACTTTGAATCTAAAATTCGAAATAAGTTAAATTTAAAATAAATCAAACTTACAATGATTTTAATTTGAAAAAAATTCAATATTAAATCATTGAAAATTTGATGCCAAATAATAAAAACTTAAATTAACATTAAAAAAGAAATTCAATAAAAAAGCTAAGAAAAAAATTAACCAAATCCAAATTTTATCTGACTCATCCAATTGATCATTGTATAGGAAAAAGATCATATTAAAATTTATGAACAAAATAAAATATTTTCGGATTTTGGAAAAAGCTTTACGAGATTTCTCATTTTCGACGTCCGGTGGTAAGTGTAAAAAAGTGATGAATATTATTAAACGATTGAAATGAGATACCTATCGATGTGGGATAATTGTTTTATAGAATCCTTTTTATTTTGTTCACTTGACAGCGGCACAACACCACCACCACCGACGACACGATAGGATCACCGGAATCCCGCCTACAACTTACTACTCTCTTTTAAGTCCACGTGTCATCCATTCACAAGACCTCTTTGATCACCAACTCGTGACTCAATCATTTCCCGCCACCAAACCCTTCCTCGCTTCAGAAACCCTCGTTTCCTTTGCTTTAGTCTCTTCCGCTTTTACCATGAGCTTCTCATCTTTCGCTCTCGACCTCAGTCCGGTCGCCACCTCGAGATGGGGCAGTCAGGGGCCCAATCTCCACTTTCACCAGCAACAACAACACCACCGCCGTAGTTTCGTTTTCTGCTCCTTGAAGCCCGCAGCCCCCTCTTCTTTGAGCGTGGCTGAGTCAGCCGCCACTGAGTCGCTGAGTCGAATCAGGTCGCTCAGTCAGGTATCCGGCGTGTTGGGTTCTCAGTGGGGTGATGAAGGCAAAGGCAAGCTTGTTGATATCTTGGCTGAGCACTTCGACATCGTCGCTCGCTGCCAGGTTCCACTGTTATGCGCGTATTTTTATACCCATTTTATTTTATTTTTCTTGTCTTTTCGTTTCATAAGCAAAAAGGTACCTATTGAATACTATAGAACAAACAGTTTTAAAAAAATTAAAAATATAATCTTGTTTGGGGAAAAATGTATATAATTGATTAAAGTTGATTTCTTTATTAGTGTGATTATTTTCAATTTGATGCATAGGAAATGGGAAATTTTTAGTGGTATTATTTGCAATTTGATGCATACGAAAATTGCTTGCAAAATGAGGTTGAAAGTCAAGCTCCATTGAAAATTGACTACCAAAGGTAGCATAAATAGTTTTACACCTGTTAGCGTATCCCAGGTTTCTTTTTGGATTTAGGAGACCTTAAATCTGAAATCGTGGTAGCAAACACGAGTCTTTTGAACAGAATTAGCAAGGGCTTACACTTTCAAGTTTCAACCTGATGGTTCTTTAGTAGAAGTACAAGTGGTTAGATTTGCCCTTTCATTTCACAGTTTGTTGTTAGTATTTGATTTTATGATTGGTGATTTGTGTATGGGAGAGTGTTTATGATGTCAGTGTACCTAATGTTAAGTTATGGAAATGTGATTAACCCACAACTCCAATTAATATACATTTGGAATGTAATTCTAATTTAAAGTTTCTTTGTCTTAGACTGGACCTTTAAGTTGTCTCTTAAGGTATTATGACCCTCTTACTTCGTACTGCTGGTAATTTTAGGAACTTTTACAGATCATAAGTGACATGATATGACTTAGCCTTGCATGTGTGTTAGATTCTTTGTATCATAATAGGATCTATCTACATCTTCTTTCAAAAAACAAAAGGAAAATAAAAAATGTTGGATATTTATAACAAACTATTCTAGTGCACCACTACTGCTACAACATAAGCACATACAGAAATGTGTTATTTAGACAAAACGCAACTACATTATATAATGATAATTTAATAATTTAGTTAGCCAGCTTGAATTTCTGGTTATAAGAGTTTAATTGGCCAGCTTGAATTTCTGGTTTCTAATTAGTTACTGCAAGTAGCATCCTTCTTATATTGGGCATTTTTCTGATATCAGGGTGGAGCTAATGCTGGACATACCATCTATAATTCAGAGGGAAAGAAGTTTGCCCTTCACCTTGTTCCTTCTGGCATCCTTAATGAGGAGACTCTATGTGTTATTGGAAATGGAGTAGTAGTACATTTGCCAGGTCTATTCAAAGAAATTGATGGGTTGGAAGCTAATGGCGTCTCCTGCAAAGGAAGGATATTGGTATCTGACCGTGCTCACTTGCTCTTCGATTTTCATCAAGTTGTTGATGGACTTCGGGAAGCTGAGCTTTCTAAGTCATTGATTGGCACAACTAGAAGAGGAATTGGACCTTGTTATTCAAGCAAGTTGATCAGGAATGGCATTAGAGTAAGTGACTTGAGGCACATGGATACTTTCCCTCAGAAGCTTGATAGTTTATTATCAGATGCAGCTTCAAGGTTCCCAGGTTTTAATTATACCCCAGAAATGCTTAGGGACGAGGTTGAAAATTACAAGAGATATGCTGAGAAGTTAGAGCCTTTCATTGCTGATACTGTGCATGTGATGTATGAATCAATTGCACAGAAGAAGAGTATATTGGTGGAAGGTGGCCAGGCTACTATGCTAGACATTGATTTCGGTACTTATCCCTTTGTAACTTCCTCAAGCCCATCGGCTGGTGGAATCTGCACTGGGCTTGGTATAGCTCCAAGAGCTGTGGGTGATCTAATTGGAGTTGTAAGTGAATGATTTGTTTTGTTTACTTTTATTGGTTTCTTCATTAGAGAATTGATTTGGTCTATGGTTGGTGGTATGAATACTGAATTACAGGCAGACACAAAATCATATGGTTCTAAATATAGCTGTTTTTTTTTTTAATGTATCAACTATGTTTAACTTCAAACATTTTCCTCTCTTAAACTCTGTGTGCAGGTAAAAGCATATACCACAAGAGTTGGTTCTGGTCCTTTCCCGACAGAAATCCTGGGTCAAGGAGGTGACCTCCTTAGGTTTGCTGGGCAGGAGTTTGGCACAACTACCGGCCGCCCTCGTCGCTGTGGTTGGCTCGATATGGTTGCTCTTAAGTTCTGCTGTCATATTAATGGCTTTTCTTCACTAAATCTCACCAAACTGGATGTTTTGTCAGATCTCTCTGAAATTAGGTTGGGTGTTGCATATAAGCATGCTGATGGTACACCAGTGCAATCTTTCCCTGCTGATCTTCGTCTTCTTGAGCAGTTGAAGGTTAGTCAACTTCTCTAACATTATTGAAACTTATCAGATTTTTTATTTTTCTTTTTTTCACTATTACAAACGTAGCTTCTTCAGTTGTCTTATTGATATTAACATCCTACTGGAAGTCCTGAAAAGTAGGCACCATGTAAGAGAACACTATATGCTTTTTCTTCTTTGAGCCTTCCATAATAGAAGCAATGTTGATAGTTTTGCAATCTCTATTTTGGACAAAGACACCGTGAAAGGTTGCACCATATATGAAAATGATAAATATGTTGTTTTATACTGCTCAGAATGCTAAAAATGAATGCATGATGCATTAGCAATTACTAGGTCATATACATTTGGCTGCACCATCTATGAAAATGATAAATATGTTGTTTTATGCTGCCTCAGAATGCTAACCGTGAATTTTTAATGCATTAGCAATCACTAGGCCGTTCACATTTGCTATTTTCTAGCAGTTGGCAAGCACTCTTGTTAATTCATTTGCTTCCTATGTGTTTAGGTTGAATATGAAGTTTTGCCTGGATGGAAGTCTGATATTTCTTCTATCAGAAACTATTCAGATCTTCCAAAAGCTGCACGTCAATATGTTGAGAGGATAGAGGAACTTGTTGGTGTGCCTGTCCATTATATTGGTGTCGGACCTGGCCGTGACGCTCTCATTTTCAAATAATTGACAAATTTTCTTATATTATTGCTAGTTGATTTTCTTGCACTCAGGCAAAACAATACCAATAGTGCTGGGAAAATTTTAATCCCTTTATAGTGGGGAAATTTTTGAGACGAAATTAAGGAAATACATAGATTTGTTGTAATAAAATAACAAATATCTACATATATATGCAGGTTACTTGGAATTGGGGGCTTGGTTTCTTTTTTTTAAATTTTTTTGGGGAATCAAAATTTGACACATGTTCATTATTTGTGCTAAAACCAGGTTATTTACCAAAAAAATTCATGTGATTTAGAACAAAAACAAATAATCTTTCCTTTCAAAACAAATTAATCAAGGACCTTCCCAACCAACTCCATGATATGGGAGTGGACAGCCAAGCAAAAATCGTTGGAATTGTCTGGAATGTTGTATACAGCTGGTGATATATGTATTGGAAAGTGAATGAGTGAACGTTACTTTCATCTGTTGGCTTTGATGTGTCATTCATGGGATAGCTTACTACCTCTATTTTGAGCAGAAGAAAATCGATGCTCTTATTTTCTTGACATTTATCTTTTCTATTTTTGTTATATTTGTAAAAGTAAGTGGAAAGTGACCTGATGGACGCATCCTGATGCTGGTGTCGAACAAGTAGGAACTTAGATTGCTTGACTGTTATATGGACATCAGAATTTTGATAGATTATAGTAGCCAATTAACTTTGATGGTCTTGAAAAGTCAGACGCAGCTAGATTGGTTGGATGGAGAAACCTTTAATTGTCACGAGAAGTACATGGCATGGAATGTGACAAGCCAGTGATTTGGATTCGAAAGAAGATTTTATAGATGGCACTTGAACCTCATTAACACATGGAGAAAAACCAAAAAAAAAAGTTGGCTTTTATCATTGATGACAGAAATGTCCAAAGCCTGGAACAAAATTCTTCATGCTAAAGTTTCACATTTTCAAAATAGCGAATTTGACCTACATTGCATATGCCTGCACCATTACTAGGTGCGATAACTTGGCAGATTTACTAGCTGCTGTTTTGTTTGACGCGTACTACATGACTTTATTTTCAGGTGTATCTTTTTGTCTTGATTATTTATTCGTATTGTTTTTAATCACTGATGTTCAGTTCTTACTGTTCCTTAGTTTGGTCCTGTAAATAAGCCCCCCACCAACAGAACTGTTCGATCAACTTAATTTTCTTCTACCTATCATGTTATGCTAGATGCTTTAACTTTTGGTGGTACACTCTTGCGCTGTCTAGGAATCCGCTCCTGATTTGGAAAGAAGTAGAGTTGCAGAAAAGCAAACTAGTCCAATAAAGTAAAGGTGACAGAAGACATTTTATCTGTTCCGATCAGACACATTGGTTGGAAAACAACTCTCCCACCGCTATCTGGAATAATTAGCTTCTAACCTCCTGCCACTCCAAAATATTCTTTCGCCTCTAAATACTACCATAGGCTCTCTCCTTTCACTCTCTTGTTATAAAAGTCGAAGCTATTTTCTTGTATGATCTCTTCTGCCAGCAATGGATAGAAATACTACAATTTACAGCCTTAAAACATTTCTAGAACTAGCATCAAATCTCTAGCTAGCTCAAATGCCGACTGAAAATGTATAAAAACCTACAGTGAAGCTAGGTTCTTCCAAGATTGACTGCTGCTCTTAGAAGTTCCAAATAGTAGTGGGAAAAGTTAACTCTTCTTGAGGATCATGAACTTGGAAGCTGGCCTCTGCTCCTTGGCAGTCAGCAACTCCATGCATCTCCATCATAGCATCCCAAACGAAGCTATTCTCAGCAAAGGCAGCTGATTCATCATAATCTTTTATTGAAGAATCTGTTGCTGTTAAACTTTCTATAGTATCAGCTCCTTCAAACTGCTTTTCTTCTCTCAGGATTCCCAGCTGCTGAAGGAACTCATGCAAATCAATCTGTGGTTTGTCCTCACATGCTTCCGCCATTTTATCTGATGAAATTTCAACAACCTTCTCCTTCACTTGAGGATCTTCTCCAGGGGTTTTATCATCTATAATATTCTGAATATCAGTTTTTGATTCCCATGAAGATGAGCTTGAAGAACCAAAAACCCCATTCTTCTTAAGTTCTTGGAGCCTCTGATGAATAACATGAACACTAGGTTGGGCGTTCATGTTAAGCAAACCACGAGAAGGAAACATTGAGATGAAGTTCTTGGAAGGAATCCATTTGAACTTGGGCAGTTTGTTTGGAGAATTCGAGATCGGTTGAAGGTGTGGAAGATTAAGATAAGCATCCGGGCCATACAATCTCCTCGCAGCCTCATCATAAGCCATAGCAGCTTCCTCAGCCGTGGCAAAAGAACCCAACCAGAGTCTACTTCTCTTCTTGGGTTCTCTTATTTCTGCCACCCATTTGCCCCATGTTCTCTGCCTCACTCCACGGTATTGACATGAAGCATTCTGGGGGCCACCTTTGCCTCGACTTGGACCTCTCTTCCATGGCTTCAATGGCGATTTTCTGTAACTTTCCATGGGAGTTGCAGTAGTGGAAAAGAGCAAGTTGATTGTGGAGTGAAGAGAGTGAGTCAAGAGAAGTAGGGTTGAAAGGCGCGGGATATGTAGGGAGTGGAAGCGTAGTTTAATTGGTTTAAATGTTTTCACGTTCCTTGAAAAGCTTTCAACCCCATGTGACCGTTAATGATTGTTAATTAGATAAGTTTTCAAATCCAATGGTTTATATTTTAACCATTTTGTTACCTCTTGCTGAATTATTTTCAGTGATTGCTACATGCTTTAGAACATGGAATTTCCGAAGGGAGCGTGCGTTCTTCAATCATGGATAATAATGAGTAAAAATATTAATCATACCAATAATCATATGATCCGTTGATAATATTGATAAAATGCTAAACTTTTAATTTTGATGATAAGATATTATGGACAACTTCAAGTGCAAAAAAATAGTAAATTTTTATAGATTTTTATTTATAATATTAAACAAACATAAGATTGATTCGATAATAAAAATATATATTATGGTCAATAAATCGAGTTTAAATTCTTTTTTTACAATTAAAAAACAAAAGTAAAAGAAAACTAGACAAAATAACAAATTCCTAACAATATTATTGATTAATATAGCCAATCAACTTCAAAAATTAGAAGTCCATAAAACGTATGTCTCAAACTTTTCCAATAGATAACATTGCATTTGTTGGATTATTTACCATTTTTTGACCCATTTTGCAAGCTAAATAAAGAAGTCTGTAATGTAAAAAGGATTAAGAGAATGAAATCTAAAAAGTCTCCCTACTACTTCTACCTAAATAAACCACCTGAAAGGTTCTACATGAAATCTATGGATTTGGCACCTCAATTCAATTTTATATAATTAAAAGCCCCATTCCTATAATTCACATGTAAATGTGTGTTTTAACAAAAAATATATCTACAATAAATTGGAATTTTTTATATATGTATTAGGGTTAAGGGTTGGGGTTGCTTGAACTCGAACTCAAAGCTTTAAAATATGTCTCAAACTCTTTTTTTCAACCAACAATCTCTTGATCGTTAGTTACGATACATTGGAAACAGTAAGCAAACACACATGCATATAGCTTGTGGCAACCATGTAAACAAGAAGACATAGTTAAGCTTACCATTCATGTCTTGCTGATTGGCCTCCCAAGAAAGACAAAACGTGATGAGAATGCATTAATAGTTTTGTGGTGGTGACTACAATTTTTCTCTTTCTTTTTTAATCTCAAGTTGGTTGACTGTTTTGAGCAAGAAAATGCAGTGGACGTTGCGGTTGTTCTTGGCCTGGCAATCTCCCTCGGATTCTGTGAGGATTGATTTTGTATTTTCTAGTGTTGCTCATCCCACCTCACAACATTTTTCACTTTCACGAGCCATCACTGCTTCACATGTTTTCCTGCCATTCATGACCTGATTCCCGGGACTCCCTTCACTTTTTTCCCATGCTCTGCTTCCTTTCCATATTCCTAAAGCATCTCACTTGTTGAATTGGTTTTTACTATTACTCAAGTCATTTACTACTACTGCCTGCATGCATTTGTGTGTTTATATATATATATGTGATCGAGATGGATTGTGATGATCACATAGCATGTTTTGGATAATTAATGGTTAATTACATATAAATAAATCCCATCTAAACATTCAAGTTAGCAAGTAATTAGCATACTTTATTATTTGCTTATTTTGTATCTAATTCGTGCCTGAATTCTATCGTAGTTTCTTGTAACCAAGACCTGTAATTTGTACAAGCAAAGTGGTAAGGATTAAGGTAGGATATGAGTTCATAGCACTCCGTGAAGGGGCTAAAAAAATCAAAATTTGCTTGGTGCTCTTATTTTTTACCTTCTATTTGTCTTTTGTCCTCAGTTATTTTTTTTTATTTTTTACTGTCTATTTTCTATTAAAAGAAAAAATTAAAAAAAAAAGTAAAAGCATTATCCAAATTGCATCCAAATCGGCCCAAGTCATTTTATAAATTGGATAAGTTCTATGTCATTATCTTTCAAATTAAGGAGCTCTATTATCTCTTTCAAATATCCTTTTTTGTTTGTTTGTGATTGTGTGGTATAGTTCAATATAGACATGGCTGGTGACAATTCATTCATAAAACATTTGGATGGATTAGTTTTAGCCTATGTTTGGTAAGTTAGGATTAATCAAAGAACAAAAAAAAATATGATTGTACAAAAGATACCAAACGTTATTTAAGTAAAAAAGAAAGCAGAAAATAAAAAGAGAATAATATATAAAAATATCTATGCCATAGCAGTTGTAATGGCAAAGTGATGTTGTCAAGTTCTGTACTTTTAGTTCTGGAATACAACTGAGCAAAATCATAAATGCAATGATTTAACTGTATTTGCTGTCCTCAAACCCTAACAATCTGGTAAGTTCCAAAACAGTCGATAAGTGAAGATGCCAAATGCAATGTTCTCAACAATCAATCCTTGAATTTCTCCAGCAAATTCCTCTGCTCAACATTAGGGCTTCCAGCAAGTTGTGTATGGCTGAAACTTTTACAACCCAAATGTCCTAATGAAGTGATTTACCCAATGATGAACTAATCATGTTGAAAGCTTACAGCATCAGAAATTTGCAGTACCAAAGAGGCGAAATGGCAAATGAGTTCATGTTGGATTTTTGCGGTTTGCCTCCCTCTACTATTTTTAAATACATTTAACCATTTTTTGTTCATATTTACTTACGATTATCATTATAGGTGTACTCAATAGGGTAATGAAAATGTACAATAATCACCAATCAACCTTGAATTTGTCCAGAAAAGCCAAAAAAAAAAAAGAAGCCAAAAGGACAAAGAAAAAGGATTTTTTTTCTGACAAGAAGAAACAAAGATAGATTAATTGGTGTATGTTTCTTCCTTCCATAGCCAGAATTAATGAAACAAATTACTAACAATAATAAAAACAATCCCTGATAAAACATACTCACTAGTAATTAAATTAACCCACAAAAAAAAAAAAAAAACAAATATTTGTTTCATTCATGAATCATGAGCACAACAATAGAAAATACAGAACCCCAATAAAAAAGACAACAAATTTATCAGAAAATTTTGGGTTTTTAAGAGAAGCCCAATATGACAAATGGTAAATAATCACAGGTTATTTCAACACATTCAGGTATACCATCTCCAAAAACATCCCAATTTCACAACAAGAAGGAAAATTAAAAAAAAAAAAAAGTACAAAGAAAAGAAAAAAAAAGAACTAAAAAGGAAAAAAAAATTTTAAAAGAAGAAATCTACCTAGACAAGTGAAAAATGGAGCCGAAGATACGAGAAAACCCGAGGCGGATACGAGGATAAGCCCTGAGTGTGTACAAGGTTGTCTGTCGGAGCATATCTTCGATTGTCTCGACGAATAGATTCAGGCTTCGAATCGGCGGCACGTAGAGGGTCAACGGCACCGCCGAGAAAGCCACCGCGAAAAACAGTTGCAGCATTTGCTCTGCTTTTTCTTGATTGGTTTGTTTGACCCGAAATCTAATTCCCTTAAATTTTTGTTTTGTTTGGGTTAAAAAAAGAAAAAGAGAGAAAATATATATAATTGAGGTGGGGAGCTTGAATAATAGTTGAATGGCGGTTGGGGCCTGGGAAATTATTTTATTTATTTATTATTTATTTTAATGACTATGGAAATGCAATTCAATAATTTTAATATTTTATAAGTGAATGAATTAGTTAGAAAAAGCAAATTGCTAGACTTACATACATTCATTGGAGTTTAATTAATTCATCATTTGTTTATGTTTTTATCATAAAATTTTATTTTAATTTTATTTTCAATCAATTTTAAATGAATTTTAATCAATTTATACAATTTATTTATGCTTTTTTAAATTACCAAAATTATAATAATAATAATAATTAATTTGGTCTTTTTGCTACCTTCCAAAACCAAGAATTGCTAGACAGATTACCATGTTTGTCCCATTTGATTTTGATGTGACAAAATTTGATTGGTACATGACCCAAAATTTAATAATAATTTTCACCCTGTTTTATTCAATAATAATAATTTATTTTTTTTTTTAATTACAATTACCATACTGCTCCATGATCCATATAAAGCTGTTGTATCAAATGTTTCTTTTGTTTTGGAAAAAAATTAAGCAAAACAAATCTTCACACAAATGAAACAAAATTCTAGTAGGTAATTACAGTGAAACGAAATTAAACAAAATTTTAAATTGATTATCGATAATCAATTTGATTACTCACAAATAATGTATGAATATGTATTTCTTATGAGTGGTAGAATTAATTAAAGAGGGTATATTAATTTTTTTAATAAATTATTATTTTATATATCGACGAAATTGACATGAGTTCATACAAGATGTACGTAAAAAATCAATTATATAATTATTAAATTAATATGTGTCACTTTTTAATTCGTTATACATACATATATTTATTTGTTTATGACCATTTGTTTCTATCTCATCTAAAAATCGAAAAAGAATGCAGCAAAAGTGGGTTTTATTTAGCCTTCAATCGAAAATATTTATACGTAAGTGTAGAAAATAATGAAATTGGTTAGATTTAACTATTTCATATAAAGTATTTGTAAAATATTAAATTTATTATGTTATAATTTATATTGATATGTTATATTTAAAATATATATTTTTATTTTTATTAAATATTTATAATTTTTTTAAAATTTTAAATTATATATTTTTATATTATTTTCGTATTATATCATTTCAGTCATTTTTAAAATTAATAAATTTTAAAATTCTAATTTGCCGACGGAAAAAATCTAATACCGGGGGCCAAAGCTAAAGGTTTCGTTCTATAAACCCATGAAAAGTGTATAAAACAAGAGGCAATAAAAAAAAATTAAGCAAAGGCTGATCGAAATTAGATGAAAAAAGTTCAATTTCATGACGCACTTGGAAACCATACTTTGTTTCTGATTATTTAATTATTAATAAAAAATAAATATTTATAAATTGATTATTATTTATTATCTTCATAATCGAGGTTGTTTAACTTTTCAGCGTTACCCAATGCCAATATAAAAAAAATGTTGGACTGTTTTAGTTTTGAACTTTTGTTTTCGTATCATTGTTTATAAAAGGTTACGATTTAAGATAATATAAAATATATATGATGACTTATAGTTTTTTTTTTTTTTTCAGAACATTTCATTTATAATTATTTTTAGTATAATTTTATAATTATTTAATTATAATTTAAATATATAAAATTTTAATAAATTTAATATAATTTTTAATTATAATTGATTAATTATAATGTAATTTTAATCGATTGCTTTATTTTGAAAAATGAAAGTTATAAAAATCACACTTTGAAAATTTTGCTAATGTGTTTAAAATTAATTTATATATCTAATTAATTTTATAAGTGTTAATAAATTAAATCGAATTAGATTTAAATCAGATTTACATATGATATTAATAACTCATATATTTGTTTAAATTGTATGCTACTTTATATTTTAAGTCTCAAAATTTTTTCAAGTCCAACTCAAATTAAAAAAAAAAAAAAAAAACCTCAAACTCACCCCTTAAACTTAATTTATCTAATAAAATTTTTTAAAAATATTTTTTTAAAAAAATTAAAATATAAAAAAATTATAAATATATACCGATATAATTATAATATTGTAATTATATATATTTTATTTGGGTCGAATTCTAATTTTAATTCTTTCAAAATCCAATCTGAAATTTAAATAAACTTAAAATTATGTTCAAACATATTTAATGAATTTTAATTTTTTATTCAAATTTTTTTAAAATTTAAATGGATCTTTGAGTTTGAACGAATAATCTGACTTTTGGACAAATCTAATCAATCTAATATATTTTAAAAATAACTTTAACAGAAATATTTTATGTTCATTTAATATTTAGAGTGTTTTAGAATAAAAGAAAAGAAAAAATGTACTTAAATATTTGACTTATAATTGATTTATATTTTATAATTATAATACAAAGACTCAATTTAGAATTTCATTCCTTCAAGATTAGAATTGATTAAAAAAAAAGATTTAACTGAATTTCCTATATATTTTTACATGTTTCTCGAAGTATGACAGTAAACGTTCAACATTAGAATTCGCATGTGTCATTGTCATCTGGATCAAATCATGAAAAAATTATTCTAGAAAATTCATTCAAATTTTTTGAGTGATAAACATTCCATAAAGTCAATTTTGCTTGCTGTCTTTGTCTGTTGAAGCACTATATTCATTTGGTAAAATAATTTGCATGTTAAGGCTTCTCCTTGTTCTTCAGTTTCTTATTGCATTTTAATTTTACAAAAAAAAAAGTTGCCCTTAAATTTTCAGTAAAAAGAGATTTTTTTTCAATGTTCAGACCCGAATGCAATTAAAAATTTTCTTTTAGTTTTTATACATAATAATATAATATTGGATTAAACAATAAAAAGTTATTTTCTTCCCTTTCATAAATTCAATTAGCTCCTCTCAAAATTTAAAACATTAATACTTGATACATTATCAAAGTAAATTTTTAATTCCACAGACAATATTAAAACGTTGGTACATGTTTTATTTTTTGTTTATTTTTTTTATTTTTTAAATATAGCTTAAATCCCACATCTGAATTATTCAACAATTTCAACTCTCAAGTTCTAACCATTTTTCAGCGACAAACTAAAAACCAAAGTCCTAGCCGTGCACTGTTGTGTTGTTAAAGAGAGCAAATGCGTTTAAATTAAGGTCAAATTGAAACTTGAGAATAAAAAATCTGCCGTCCACCAAAGGATTGGTTGATTTCAACCACTTTCTGGCTCTAGGATCAAGGATACACAGAGAACCCTAAAACGATCTAGTCTTCCTTATATTTTTTTTTATTTTGCTTTTTTTTTTGTTTCTATTTTTTTTCCTCATTGCAATTGCTTACCCTTTGATTTATGCAGTAGTCTATCAAAAACAGCTCCCTTGCAGTGTTGAGGCAGGTAAGAAGTGTTTGGAGTATTGAATCAGGCCAAGCTGGGCTGTGGCAGAAACAGATTGATATTCTTGAATGCTCCGTAATTTTTCTGCTCGTGGATAAACTATACACCCATGAACCAAGTATTAGTCTAGTTCATGGTAATGTTTCTTTTTCCTATGCAGAAGTTATGCATGCTAGCAACTTTTTACAAACTTGTTGAATGTCAAATGATGGGTCAGTCATAGATATATCTGAAAGTAGAGATCTTGCTTCCAGTAATCCACCAGATATAGTCTCCAAAATCGAATCTTCACTCGCCATAAGAGAAGCCATCAGCTTCGCACCAGCCATCCTTTCCTGATGAAAATCAAGTGGCCGATCAACACCAGCTTAAATTTCTAATGAGACAGGGATAAGAAAGAACACAGTTGTTGGGCAGCAAGATTGAAAATTTTAGTTTTTCGTTTTTGCTTTTATTATTATTATTATTATTATTATTATTATTATTATTATTATTTTGCTTCCCATAACATTTCCCTTTTGAATCAAGTTAAAAAACAATTAGAATATATGAGCATGATATAATACCTCTATAAAAAATAAGCTTGAAATAGATCCGTACAAGTCAAATAGTAACATTTAAAGATAACATAGAGGAGATTACTAAATTTCCAGATACAATGTTCTTTCCTAGTATGAGATAACTTCCCGTCGATATGAAACCAGCTAGATTTCAAGGTAAGGCATTTAGTTATGAAATAGGCCACATCCCAAGCATACGAGAGAAATAGTTCATCTATAATCTATAGTTTATACAAAAGCATGGATATAAATAATATTTTGAATTGACAAAAAAAATGCATTTTAACTCGTTATATTTCAATACTGTCATGTCATTTTTATATATTTTTAATTATTATTGTTATTACTTGGCATTTTTGCTTTTTGTTTTATAATCATAGTTTATTGGTTTCAAAGAGGATGGGTTTTTGAGTTCAAAATATACTAAATCAATCACTCAAATCAATAAAATCAGTTTGCTTGTCCTTTAATTAACAATGTTTTTATATTAGTATACTCGAAAATAGTTATACATCTTCATATTTTAATTTATTTTTTAATGAAAATTTTCACTTTGTAATTAAGATTTTCGTTTCATATAAAATATCTTGATTTTGAAAAAAAAAAAAGGGGCTATAATATTTAAGGATGTGCAATTCTATTGATAAAATCACTTATTACTTAAAAGTTTATTTATTTATATTTTATTATTATAGTTTAAAAATATATCAATAATACATATTTAAAATAAAATATAAATCAATGTGGAACGCAAGTGACCATATACTAGCATCTAAAAATGATGGACAACAGTGAGGTTATGTGATAATGATACATTCAATCAAAAGAAAATAGTGAGGTTATGATACCTTTTCTGATCCATTTCCAAGGAACTTTAGAGAAAGTTTGAAAAGATCACAGGAATAAGGAAGAACTGCAGACTTCAGATGATACACGGCAGAGAACAGAACCTGGATGCACGCAGCTCTAATCTCTGGTTGCATTATTACCTACATAATTTGACCCAATGTAGAAGAAAAGGTCAGAAGATCAGTCTCAGTTGTTGAAAGTGAAAGAAATTTAGAGACAAAAGTACCTCAACCGAATCAATTAGACATGGAAGAATTGTCTTTGCGAGGGGTTTTTTGCCATAGTCAGATATCTTCTGACAAGCACTGATGAGAACATTAGCCAAGCACAGACGAAAAGAAACAGGAATTGGTTCACAGTTTTCATCCCGCAACTTGGAGCCAGGGTTATGTTCACTTTTATCATTTATTAATTGATGGATCACGTATCTGAGGGCATAGAGCTTGGAGGTAGCATTCCCTACAATTTAGGCCAAAGAGGTGATATCTTCCCCATTGTATAACATAAATATTCATATCAAGAACAAAATACCAACCAGAATTGCCTTTCTTCCCAACAATGTAGCTCCTCCATGAGGTGCAGTCTTTAAACGATTCAGGAGCTTGCAACTCACCACATAAAATCAGTGCCAAACAATCAATGCAACCATGTTGTGCTTTGGAAACTGAGAGCAAAAGTAATAATGTAGACGTAATCTTAAGTATTAAATGAAAAATCAGTAGACATTTCTAGTATGGGGTGGGGTAAGGAGGAGAATTGATCAGTTGCATGGTTAAGTACCTTCATCTCCATCTGATGTAGGCCATAGCAATATCACTTCAATAGTTCTCCAGATTTGAAGGATAAAAGGATGCAAAAGGGACTCCATTCCTCTTACCTAGAAGCAAGAAGAAACCTTTGCATTAACTACAGCTTGAATGGAAAAGATAAGCTCAAATCAGTGCAGAAGCACTGGAATACACCATATTGTAACAAATATCTACTAAGAGGAGAAGATGGCTACCACAAGGGATGTACAGACTGAAAAGAGGCAAGCTTTAATCTTCAATATATCCTGAGAATCTGCAGCATGTTCTAATTGCGAGCAAACAAGTGGAAGCAGAACCTTAAAAACCATGAGGTAAATAAGACAAAAATCCCGATATAAGGACTAAGAAAATATTTATGTAAATTTTCAGAATATGTCAAGGAAAGACGAAGTGATAACAAATAATTAAGCAAAGCCATTGTTGCGTACTTGAGGATGAATGCGCCCACAAAGCTCAGCGGCAAGCTTTCTTACATCTTCAAACTCAAACTTACTAAATGCGCTGAAATGGGGAAAATAACAAGACATCAGGAGAATGTAAATCAGATTACAGAAGTTAGATTTCATTGTCAAGGATCAACCTATTTACAAGGAAAGCAACAACACTGTTATCATCAATGCCGCTGACATCTCTATATTCTGCAATAGAATAAAATAATAGATCAATCAAAAGTTATATTCATGGTATTATTTTCTTTTTATTTTTCTTTTTAAAGAAAAGGGGTATAAATAATAAGCAATTATCCAATTTTATCACATTTTCATGAATAAATGGAATGGATAGAATTTAATTTTTGTAACGCATCACAAAGCAATTGAGTCAACCAGATCTTCATTCCATAAAAAGAGTTGAGTAGAACAACTTGGATTGTCATGGGAAGAGAAGAGAAGATACCATGCATAACAGACAGATTATGAAGATGACCATACATCACAGAGGAATTGAGATTATTAAATACTCTCAATGGAAGCAGCCTAATTATGAGTAGTGGACAAAGTCGCTCAAACAAAGATTGCTGCATTCTCATGGAGTCATCACTCGTACATGTTCTTGTCTCCCATCTAGAGAAGAAATCTTCATCAATCCTACAAGAGGGAAAATTTGAATGGTTCATACAAGACAACAGCATGATCAACCATTGAGTAAATCCTTTCAGATGTCAAGCAAACGTGTTCCATACAACAGGGCTTATCTAATACATAAATTAATCTCCTTAATGATCCACAACTGGAAAAAAAGAAAACATTCTATTAACAAGTAGAATATTCTAACCTCTTCGCTTCTAGAAATTGTTACAATTGTTTAAAGAAGCTAATGAGTGAAAATTTACAATATAAGTTCATAAGAAAAACAATTAGAAGCTCCTAATGCTGAAATAAACCTGCTGACTGCAAGAAGTTTTTCTCTCCAGTAAAATGTTGAAAATAAAAAAAATTGTAACCAAAACATCCCTTAAATTATAGCATGCATCAATGGTTATTGGTCAAGGAAATTACAGATCTCAAGTACGTGAAGATATTAGTCCAGCAGTATCATACAAGTGTCAGTATCACATATAGGCACAGCCCCGTTCTTAAAATGTTCATGCTACTTAGTTTACATAACATTTAACATACAATAAAACATTATTAGAGAACAAGTAGTCAATACATTAAAGTATGTTAACTTACAAACTTGTTTTTTCTTAAGTTTTATCTTATGTGCCCAAACGTTCTATATCTTGGTGGTCTCATTATGTATTCTTATTTGTGTGGCCAAGACACATTATAAAGAAATCTCATTGGTTAGATTGCCCAGTAACTATATGCATATCTACTTGAACCATTCACCAAATGACATTTTTACTCTCATTTTTCTCTCAAACATTCTTCTACAAATAATACTCTCCTGTTTCCCTAATTTCATTTATTCTCTACACCCTTCCACACCCTGATAATCTGCCTATCAGTCCAAACTCCACCATATCCAGGTCATGTCTTCCCTAACTGCTATGATACCTACCCCAACCTTATGTGAACATTTTCTTAAGATACACATGCTTTTCCTATCATATCAAATACCTACTTGCCTATTTTCCTACATACTTTTGGGCACCACATGGATAATCATGGCTACAATGCTATCAGCCTTAAACACTATACTTTAACTCTTTTTTAACGTTAAAACAAGCCTTAGAAAGCTAAGACAAAAAAAATGTCATGAAATAGTTTGGGTTATATTATGTACTTACCCTTTCTGTCCTTTCATCTGCAAGAGAACACGACAAAGGACTAAATCTGCAGCTTCTGCTAACTGTTCATTTATGTGACTCAAAAACCTGACAATAGTAGCATTTGATGGCTCAGCAAACATCTTGTCTAGCAGGGCTCCAATTAATGCGTTCCAGTCTTGAACCTAAAATATATCAGAAGACCAAGAAAATTAAATAATTCAAATACTGGCACATAAAATGGAGCTCCAACCATCCAATTTGACGGATATGCATATAGGAAATAGACCAAAATGATACATGCATGTGAATAGGTAAGATAGTACAGAACCAACAAAAAGAACATAACTGACCATCACATTCGAGTTAGCAATTGGAATAACTCAACCAACTAAATTAAATTTCATTTCAAACAAGTTGGGTCCAGTATATGCATCTCAGCCCAGTCCATGGCCATATTTTCTATGACCAGCAAGGCAAATATATTATTTTAGCTTCAAAAAGTATTAAACTCGATCGACCAACAATATTTTTTAATTGAGTACTAATATCAGCTTAGTTATCATCATGCACATACATCAATGGTTGCATTTATGTGTCTGCTGCATGCTCATGCATGCTTGTCTCTGTGTCTCGGTCCTCAAATTTTAGGACTTCATACCATCATACCATCCTCTTCCCATTCAATGGCTATAATGAAAAAATATAAGTCGCAAGAAGTAACTACGCCAGAAAATTGTTTGGGCAATTCCACTAACCATTGTAGTCAAGTTCTCATGTCAGGAAGAAAAACATAAATATGAAAAAGAAAACAAATGTTGATGGCATTAGAAGACCAGTTTTTTCCTCATATAGACATTACGCCCAAAAAATGACAACAAAGAGACATGCAATTTCTTGCTACTAGGCAGTAACGGTCCAAGATATTAGCAAAAGCCAAAGATACAAAGTCATAAAGTTTACACAAAAATTTTCCTCTGGAATAAGAAAGGCCAGTAAGCCATGATGCACAAACACTTCAATGCCTTTAGATATAATATTCAATAGATTGCACACAAACATGCTGAGGGATATACATGACAGATACTTCAAAATTAGAAATATCCCACTCGAAGCTCCCAGGGAATAAGTGTGGATATTAGATTCAGTTTTGAGTGAGTAACTCAAACATTCTCAACGATATAAAGTCTTCCCTTGAAACGTACTCAAGTTCCTAGGAAACCAGATTGTTCCTTTTGTCTCACCCTTTATCTCCTCCTTCCTTTTCCCTTTTTTTTTTTCAGAAAACAAAAAATTCACTATATTTTTATCTATATAGGTAGTAATAGTAGTAGATAACTGACAGGAAATATGCCTGTAGATTCACATGTATGTGTGTGTGTGTGTGTGTGTGTTTGTGTTGATAAAAATTTACAGGAAATATGAATTTATGTACTTATGTATTTGTTAATATTTCATTGCAATTTCAACTCGATAAAAAATTGACAGGAAATATGAATTTATGTACTTATGTATTTGTTAATATTTCATTGCAATTTCAAATCATACTTTCTTGAGAAAACCTGTAGCTCTAAAGTCTAGCACTTCACATATCCTGTCTCTGTATCTCTTCTTAAAAGACCATATTATCTCAATGCATCTCAAAAAGGGAAATATCATGGAAAAATATACATCTAATGCAGGGTAGCATTATCATTCTCATTTCTTACAGTTTTAGACCACTCTGGGATCAGCCTTAGCACTCTATCACGGTCTAAATTTGATCCTGCCAAAACAGTATAAAGAGATAAAATGAATCCGAGATAGTATTATAGTCCAAAGAAACTAATGAAAATTGCAAAGAAATAGAATGCTCAAGTTTGAATAGTTGATGCTTAATCAACAAGAAGGTTAAAAGGAAAAGCAGACAAAGAAGGAGAAAAACAAAAAAAAAATGAGGCTTCAAACATTCCATTCAGAATCCAAACAAAAAATATAAGCATTATCAAATGGCAAAGTCCACTTCCTTAATGTTTTAAACAAGACAGAGGTAGCAGTCAGAATACTAAAGAAATACGACACAATTCATAATACACAGACATCCATACAAATATTAGACGACTAGATTCACAGCTCTTAAATTCTGCATCAATGACTTAGTTTCAGAAATTAAAGACAGTGAAAGCAATCCATAAAACACATCCAACAGCACTTTGTTTCTGCAACAATGAATTGGGAAGAAATTAAAACAGTTAAGAAGTGAAACAGTAAGAGACACACCTTTCCCTATACATGCTCCAGCTTCTGCATCAGTAAGGCACTGGCTGAGGTTGCTGGAAGGAGTTGAGCAGATTAATGTTAAACAAGAGCCAAAACTGTTTATTTTAACGCTATTAAGAAGTAGAATTTGCAGGTTATTAGAGACTCCCAGAAACCGCATGTATGCATCACCACATTCTTGCACGTTTACATGCACACATTCATGAAGGAAATGAAACTTTTCTTTATTCCTGATTGATTTCAAGTTGAGGATTGTGGAGGTAAAAGTTAAATAAGAAAGCAAGATACCTAAGATTGTCAAGTAGCATGCACATAACTTCAGGTTTCTGGTTATGATGTTTGAGCACTCTAATGAAGGCTTCACTAGCTGCTGGTTGTACTTTTTCATCTGATGAGCAAACAAGATGAACTAATGCAGGCAACACATATGATGGGTCTGCAAAAAGAGCTAATTCAGTCATACAGCAAGTTCGTTCAAATCATCAATCTTCAGTAGAAGAATTAAGAGTAAACAAACATTTGTCAAGATATTGAAGCATATGATTAATTTCATACAGCTTATACCCAAACCAATTGTAGAACATAAAATTGACATTAGAAAAGAATTTAGTAATACAGTCTTCATGAATTTCTTGTTTTCAAGAAAAGCGGTAAAGATATGCAAATCCATATGCATTTTGCTAAATTGATAAAATATGGAAGTCACACACGATAAAATACTTGGACCATCTTAACACTTGTCACAGTATAGTGGTTAAGCCTAACCAATCAGTGGAAGCAAATTGGGTGTTTGTTCTCGGATTGCAGTTTCTTCATCTTCAAGGCACACTAGTAAGTGATTTGCTATAACTTGCCTGCAACAATAATAGGGAGAAGATCAATGAAGAGACTAAACAGTGAAAACTCGAGAAATCACAAATTATAGCAGCTAAATCAAAATCTCATACTGGGTTGAGTGATAAGCTTTATGTGGTGAATCTTTCGATATGTGAATCAGTTCTGATATGACATCAAAAGCATTCCTTCTCTGAATAGCATTGCCAGAAGCTAGCCGTTTAAGAACTTCTTCAAGACAGTGACCGTCAGCACTTCTGGTGGACCATTAATCTAGGTTAGGTTTAAACAGAGACCAGTGAATTCTTGTTGCTGTCAAAAACTAATGAATGAAAAATTAGAGTTTACAATGAACAGTATTCTGCCATGAGAATAACAACAGCTCTCGCTGCAGCATCTCGCTCATCAAGAAGGTGAAGCAGCAATGGTACCACAGCGTCCATTTGATTGGTGTCAGTTAGACTGCTTCCAGATGAATTATTTGTCTTAAAAATAACAGCCTTGAATATGCAGACAACCCCTTCTATTACATCTTCATCATTACAATGAAGCTAGCCAAAATGCACCAAGAACAGACAACAGTACAAGTATGTCAACATTGAGACACAACCCTTAACTGTAACTAAAACATTGTATCTTATACATGATAATAATATTGCATGATAAGTACTCAAATCCAGAGAATCATGGATGCTAAGATTGAGTACAATCAGTCAACTCATTTCCAATAAAGTGTCATAGATATAGACATTTGTGGCCCTTATTTAACTAAAGAAGATTACTTCAAAAACCTCATGCAAACTTACCTGTGATAAAAGAACATGTGATATCTGATTTCCATAATCCAACACTATGCCTTCAAATTTTTTGCCATCAAAACGCCCCAGCATAAGGCATAAGCAATTTAGGAAAAATTTTCTGGTCTCTATACCACCATCCTTACTCTCAGCATGCCCCTCATCGTAGTTATTTGTATAGTACTGCATTTTTATTCCTTTTTTGGCATCAGCAACTTGACAAACGCATCAAATCAAAGCAGACTTAATATTAAAATAAATAATCAATATCATGGCATAAAACATGATCCTGCAGAAAAGCACTTCATGAGATATGTATGTTATTCGATCAAACAAATATAAGCATTCACACTACATGAACTCTAATCAAAACCATGTTGCCACTTCTAGGAACTCTTGTGACACTAGACATGAGCTCAGATATGCATCTTCATAAAGCTAGCAATAAATATTCTTTAGCATTAGTATGACTAACTTTCAAATAGTTTCACAGGTAAACTTCTAAAGAAACAGACAGAAACAACTCAAATATGTGTGATACAGTGATAGTATTGACTACTAACTATAACTGGAAGATAAATAAGTAAATTACAGGCATAATGACTAATGATTCCACCCATCAAATAAGTCCACCAAACAAGCATGCACATACACATATGCACCCAAAAAGAGGGGAGGGGGGAGGCAAACCATAGTGAAAAAATTAGTATTGCAAACAATAAACAATCTAAATATAAAAAATAAAATACAACATGGCAGAGTAAGAAAAAAGAACCAAGGGAATGCGAAAAAGTAAATCCTCATATAAAAATTTTTGCATTAAAATGATTATATGGTTTCTAGTTCCCACTTACAATACCATAAGTATCAGGAAAAGAAAGAGTGACTTCAATTGCTTTACCAATTATTGGTTACAAGCTCTCTTGTGCCTTAGTTTACCTATAAATCTGTCTACAATTGTATGCTCAATAAAATCTTCCGGTGTACTTGATAACCTGTATATCCAAAGTTCCCTTTTTTTCTGATTTCTCTTCATAAAGTTTTGAAGGTCACTTCTCTTTTTTTACTAAAATATAGGATGTGTTTCTTAATCCTCCAAGAAATTAGAGGTGCCATCTCATGGATATCAGGAGTAAATGTGTATTTGTTTGCTCTTCACTCTTGCACACATGCATATGAGGCTACAAGCCATCAAGCTAGAATGTCTCACATAGAGGTAGATTCAAACTAAAACTTGACTTTATAACATCAGGAAACCCAAGTCAGCAGGGTGCTAAAAGTGTTTACAAAGATTACTTAGAAGCCAACTCCAAGTAATCACATACTTAACAAACCTTTTTATAAGGTAAATCTCACATGTATCATGTGAACAAAATCCTTCATCAAAATATACATTAGAACAATTAGAAGTAATCATTCAACAAGCATAAAACCACATAAACTAAATATCATAAAATTATTAAATATAATATTGATAAATCTGACCTGGATGCCTGACAAGTACTGTTCCAACAATTCCTTGTACTGCTGAGTAAATTTTTTATCTTCCAAGTGCAATAGCATGCCATAATGCTTCCAGCATGAAGAGAGTAGCAATGCTCTGGTCTTTAGAATCTTCGAGCCTGCCTACAATATTGCAAATGAGTAAATCACAATGAAAAAGTGGAGGCATGATTAGAAGTAACTATGCTTAAGAAGCACGATTAAGGGACAGGACCTGCCTCATCTTGAATGCCACCATAATGCACTTGAATCTCCTGCAACCACTTAAGCACTTGCTCCAATCCTTTAGCATGCAAGGGGCGGCTTTTTCTGCTCCACTGTAGTGCATAGTAAATGCATCAACATCCTTTTTTTTTCTAGGACTATAAAGCTAATACTTCACTAGAATGTAAGAAAATAAGAATTTGAAGATATTTGCATACACGTTTGACAAGAGTTATATTGTGATTAAAATTAGTCATCTCAGTTCTAGGCAACTTTTCCATTTCTCTAATCTCTTGTGGCTAGGCTCTTCTTTCCAATAAATAAAACAGCTAATAAAAACACTGAAGAAATAAATCCATGAAACTATGCACAAGTTAAATAAAAACCCATTCAGATTACTCACCGTTCAGAAATCTAATGTGACATTAAAGAATGTTTATTTTTTTTTTTTTTTACCCTCATATACATCCAAGGAACCATGCACAAGGTAAATAAAAACTCATTCAAAATACTAAAAAAGTAAATATAGTGATGAAAGAAAAGAAACAGAAAGAGGAAGCATAAGGGTAGACATTAGATGAAATGAAAATAACCAACTTATAACACATACAGCAAGGAGTCTCTCCACTAGGCAAATGAGATCCTCTAGATAATCCCAAAGCAAATATTCCATGCCCGTGTTTAAAACTGTAGAAGATTTATAAGCTGTGTTCATTTTTTTCTCATCAACGCTTGATGCTAATAAACTAACTGGAGGGTTGGATTCACTGGAGCTCAATGATTTAGGCCTGTTACTTAGCCTATCAGGCTTTTTTGTCAGCCCTTCAGTTAAAGCCAAAAAACAATCTGCAGCAGCCACTGAAAGGCGTGAAGGGAGCTCAGATTTATCCTGCAAAATGCTGTAGGAACAAATGGCAATAATGAGATGAGTTGGTTAAACACAAAATCACTTATGCCTTCTGAATGAAAAGACCATTTACCACTTTTCAAAATTGTAAATTGACAAACTAGACCAATATAGTGACAACATCTAAATATCTAATGTCATCCTATATAATACTCTAAATTCTCAAGTTGCAAATATAGCAAGGACAATGGGAACACAACAACCCAATGAAGTAGACCTAATGTCAATCTCTCATCTCAGGGCATTAGTAAAGGAAAAAAACATCACCCTTCCAAGAAAACAGAAACCAGATATGGGTGAAGTCATGAAGCACCATTCACATTAAGAAAAGAAAACTGCTATTAGCATTAAAAATCAGATAATGCCCCAAGGGTACACACCCAGCAGTTAGAACTTCAGTCTTCATCTTGAAGGTCTCGGGTTCAAATCCAAAGGTGGGTAAGGTAGATGGGATATGAGAGGGCTACCCCTCATTATATAACTCAAAACCCCTATGTAATCCAGCTAACATGATGCTTAATTTATCATCAAACATATCAGAATAATGTTCAAGTTCACAGACCAAAAACTTAATGAATACTACCTTCCTTTACGTACAATACACAATAAATGTGGAATAGAAGTGCAAAGTATCTTCAGCAAAGCATTGTACTTCTCCTTTATTCCTGAATTCAGTGATTCAAAATAAAACTTCTTCAATTTTCAGAAGTAACAAGTAAAAGCACAATTTTTTATTAATAAAGATTATTCTCACAGACTTCCCAACAGAAACATGCTAAATAAAACAGAAAATTTGAAATTTTGGTAAGAAAATCAATTCTACTTTAACACAAAATACAGAATAGAAGGCTGTGTCTGGTTGTTCCTTTTGCTACTTTCTTTTTAATCCTTGAAAAGTTGCTATAAAGCAAAAGCAAATAGTAATAAGAAAACTCATAATCAATTAAAAATGATCAAGTTAATAAACCTTAAATTCTAACATAACGATTCCACAAAAACCTAAAATTATGCATTTTCTTGTTAAAAGAATCATATTTCTAAGTTAAAAAATATTGTTTGTTTTTGTATCAAAAGCACTTTTTTCTTTTTGAAGCAAAAAAATAAATGGGAGCGTATATTTATCCAACACCGTGAATCTAAATAAAACACCGAAAACATATACATATATATATTATCCACACCATAGAGACCACTTATATAGAAATAAAATACAGAATTTGTCCTTTTACCATTAACCAAATTCTGATCCGTAGTACTCTCACACTCCATGAGCCCTCGCACAAGAATACACCAACCAAAAGCTATAAATCGATCATCTTTCCTCATAATTATATTTGCCAGATTCATCGCAACTGCTTGGAAAAGAAGCTCATCTTGGAAAAGCCAACTGAGAAGTATCATAGGTTGACTGTCATGCTTTGAGTCCTTGTACTTCAATGACTGGCAACAAGCAAGTAAACACATAAACCTCCTTTGTAATTTTTGCATTTCTCACTTTCTTTTTATATGTAATATATATATATATATATTTATGTATATATATATAATATATATACATATATACATTTGAATACAAAAGTCAACTAGAATTTTAAACATTTAAAGTTAAAAATTAGATTTTGTTAACAATAAATGCATTTTTACAATTATTTCAAACATTTAATCGATTGAAACGAAACAAAAACATTAAAAAAAAAAAAAAGAACGAAATTTTTGTAAAAATAAAAAAGGTTCGGTTACGTGTTGGATCATGGGAACGAGAATCTCATCCAAAGTCCCGTCTCTCTGAGACGCATCTGTGACGTACTTGTGAAGAAACCAGAGCGACTCATCCAAAGTTGCTACAAATTTAACATTAAAAAAAATCGTCAAGCTTTTATTGGAATTAATGTAAAAAGACGAGGATTGGAATGTAAATTTACAAAATCAGGCGCTTGAGAGCCTTAAATACCGAGCGAGGGTTTGTTGGAGGAGTCGGGGGAGAGGCAAGAAATGGAGTGGTGAAGTTTTTTGGGACGGGCGGTGAGGAGAGTAGTCATGGCTCTACCGATTGTGACTGAAACCATTGATTCCGGCTCTGATTTCCATATTAGCTGTTGTTGTTGTTCTTGCGCTTCTCGTCGCTCCATTTGGGTAAAGTTAAATGTAAAATTTTGAAGCTTTTGATAATTTTTTTGGCTAGTGGAAAACTAGGGCTTGCAGTGTACGGTCCGTTTATAGCAAGCAACTGTGGAGACTACGGGTTTTTTCGGTTTCAACCTAGAATTAGAAGGATTCATTAGATTCGACCGTTGGCAGGGTATGGGCCTAATAGCCCATATACCGAGTCAAGCCATGACCCAAGCATGGGCTTTTCTGGACTGAAACTCTTGAACCAATTTATGGGCCACCAATTTGTCATTGAACTAATCTCCTCAATTTTGCCATGTTGTTCAACTGGCGTGGATTGGCAGAAAAGAAAATCAAGGATTCAGTCCACCGAAGACCGGGACCTTGCGCCCTTGGTCTGCGAGTGGAATGGGTTCAACCCTTGTTATTAGCCAAATATGTAAATATGTTCTTAATTTTTATTTTTTTTTACAAAATTGACATAAGTTTCATATTTTTATTGCATATAAATAAGTTTATAATTTTTTTTATTTTACTTTAAAAATTACATAAATAATCTTAATTCCGTTAAAAAAATTAATGATCGTTTATATTGAACAGTTAGCATCTTATGTAGAAGATGACATGTAAAAATGTTTATATTAACTAATGATGTGTCATTTTGATTAAAAAAACATGTAAATATGTCTTGAATTTCTTTTCAAAAAAATCAAAAATTAAAAAATGAAAAATCAGATAAATAATAAAAAAGGAAATAGGTTAAATTTTGTCATAAATTAAAAAAATCAAAATTGCATGTTAACATTTAGTCTCAAATAAAATAAACAAATTTTTTAAAAAAATTTTAGTTTCTCAAAATTTTAAAATATACTCAAAAAAATAAAAAAGTAAATTTTTTTTAGTTTTTTACTTTCCCATTTTTTTTTCAAAAATAAAATTAATTTCGATTTTCTTGAATTTTATTCTCCGCCCTAATTTTGGTGGTTTGATTACCTCCGAGTTAATAAAAATAGCTTGAACTGTCATAGTTCAACATAGTCTAATCCAACATATTTATATACGGCTGTAGCTTGTAACTTTTCACTTCAAGTCTCCAAAATCGCTAACCATCTGATGCTCCATCAATTCCTAGAAACAATAAACCCCCCAAAACCTCCCCAAAACCCTTTAAACCAATTCTCCTTTGAACAAAACTACAGAAACATCTGCGACCTTCTGCTCTCTTTAACGCACTCAAGGTCCCTTCCAAAGGGTCTGCAACTCCATGCCCACATCATCAAGTCAGGCATCCAAACCATCCCTCTCGTTTCTCATCACCTCATCAACTTCTACTCCAAGACCCAACTCCCTCTCTTTTCCCGTCAAGTCTTCTTCGAAGCCCCACAGAAGAGTCCCACAACTTGGAGCTCAGTCATCTCCTCTTTCGCTCAAAATGAACTCCCTTCCCTTGCAATCCAGTTTTTTCGTGAAATGCTTGTTAATAACGTCAAGCCCGACGATCATATCTTCCCTAGCGCAACTAAATCATGTGCGATTTTGGGAAGGTTTGATGTCGGGCAATCAATACATTGCCTTGTTTTGAAAACTGGGTATGATACGGATGTGTTCGTGGCGAGTTCTTTGGTGGATATGTATGGGAAATGCGGGAAAATTAAGGTTGCAAGGAGATTGTTTGATGAAATGCCTGAGAGAAATGTGGTTTCTTGGAGTGGGATGATATATGGGTATGCTCAGTTAGGTGAATTTGGGGAAGCTTTGACGTTATTCAAACAAGCTTTGTATGAACGCTTGGAAGTGAATGATTTTACGTTTTCGAGTGTGGTACAGGTTTGTGCTAACTTGACTCTGCTTCAGTTAGGTAAGCAGATACATGGGTTGTGCTTTAAAACGAATTATGATTTGTCAAGTTTCGTAGGGAGTTCTTTGATATCTTTGTATTCTAAGTGTGGAGTGATCGGAGGGGCTTACCGGGTTTTTGATGAAGCCTGTGTTAAGAATCTAGGGATGTGGAATGCAATGCTGATTGCTTGTGCTCAGCATTCACATACAGAGAAAGCATTTGGTTTGTTTAAACAGATGCAAGATCTTGGGGTCAAACCGAATTTTATAACCTTTTTGTGTGTGCTTTATGCTTGTAGCCATGCCGGGCTTGTTGAAAAGGGGCAGTTTTACTTTGATTCAATGAAGGAGTATGGAATTGAGCCAGGAGATCAACATTATGCTTCTTTGGTTGATTTATTTGGTCGTGCAGGTAAATTGCAGGAGGCACTTTCAATCATCAGAGAAATGCCTATTCAGCCAACAGAGTCTGTCTGGGGAGCTTTTTTAACAGGGTGTCAAATTCATGGGAAAACTGAATTAGCAGCTTATGCTGCAGATAGGATCTTTGAGTTGGGACCTGTTAGCTCAGGTTTGCATGTGTTATTGTCTAATGCTTATGCCGCAGCTAGGAGATACGAGGATGCAGCCAAAGCTAGGAAGATGCTCAGGGACCAAGGGATTAAGAAAGAGACAGGTTTGAGTTGGGTTGAGGAGGGAAATAAGGTTCACACATTTGCTGCTGGGGATAGGTCTCATGCAAAAACAAAAGAAATTTACCAAAAATTAGAGGAATTAGGAGACGAAATGGAGCGAGCCGGTTATATTGCAGACACAAGTTTTGTGCTGAGAGAAGTAGATGGTGAAGAAAAGAATCAGACAATCCGATATCATAGTGAAAGACTAGCTGTTGCATTTGGGCTCATTACCTTTCCACCAGATAGGCCAATTAGGGTTATGAAGAACTTACGCATTTGTGGTGATTGTCATACAGCAATCAAGTTTATGTCCAAGTGCTCTGGAAGAGTAATTATTGTGAGGGATAACAACCGATTTCATCATTTTGTCGATGGCAAATGCTCCTGTGGTGACTATTGGTGAATGAATTATAAGATACAATTATTGTACCCTAACCAAATTCTGAAACAAGAAGTGGGAAGAAATAACTTAGAAAGAGTATATTGTGAGATAAACAAGTGGTTCCATTGTTTTGAGGATGGCAAAATGCTCCTTTTATGACTATTGATGAACAAATTGTAAGATGATACTTATTGTTCCTTAACAAAGTTTTGAAATCAGAAGCGGGAAAAACCAAAGAAAACCTTTTTTTCTTTTATTTATAACTATTTGCTTATCTGTTTTTCTTTATGTGATGTTTGATGCTTAAGGATCACTAAGCCACTATGCATGCATTTGCTTTTTAAAGTGCCATTCTGGTGCTTACTATCCTATTTTTAAATCTGTAATGTTTGATCATAGACCAGTGATGTGGCGTGATGTATCAAAAAGAAAAAGATTGTACTGTAGCAAAAATTCCCAAGAACTCGGATAATATTGTACATATAGACTTGCTATACGGATAGCAGATTTTATTCTACTTCGTGGTGTTCATTCCCTTGTAATTACTCATCTTTCCATATGATGAACATTTTTGTTTCAATTTCCCTGGTATGGCTCCTTCCAGATATGATATATCATCCTTTATGAATTTCATTGGTTTTCTTATCTTTTTTTTCTGACAATCTCCGAATATATTTTACCACTGACCCTATCATGACCTCCTTGATTAATAGAGATCATAGAGTACATTGAACAAACATAATACATAATTCCATCTGCTGCCAGGTCAAAGCAGAAACAATGAAAATACTAAAAAGTAGGCGAATTTTGACAGGGTTCCAATTGCCAAACAATTTTTATATAATTCTTTACTTTTTACATTGTTTTCATTTTCCGTACGGTTGATCAAATAGAGGTAAAGATTAGAATATTTGAACCTGTATGAGGAATCTGCCCTCAGGCTGATAATTATAGTTTTTCCAGCTGCTAAATATAGAAGAGAGACCTTGAATTTTTTCTTTTTTTTTTTTTTAAAAATGCTTTCAGCCGGCCATGGTACGTAGGGAATATTTATGGTTGACCGAGAGAGTTGCCTGTTTATCCTCCAAGACAATGTAGCTTTGACCTTATATCTAGCAACTTTCCTGTTTGTATAAGCAAAGAAAATTTGTTTAGCTTCAGGTCAGGCTTATTTCAATCAAAGGAAGTCATTGCTAAAGACCATGGTGCATGTAAACCATCAGTCTCCTCTGTGAAGGAAAAAACTACAGTCACCTGGTCCAGCCATGACTGAAACAGGAGAATCTGTTTCACACGCTTGGTCCTTGGGATATTTTTTTTAATAATATAACTTCTTGTCTTCCTTGATTTTGGTTTTACTTGGTGGAGGTATAATACACCACCTATCTTCTACATTGATGAATAATATATTATTATTATTATTATTTAATCATTTTCATGGGAGTTCTCGACCTTGTATATCTAAGGTAGGTTTAAGCAATACCTGGTGTAGAACGTTTAGTTTAATATTGCAGACCACTTCTTTTCCAAATGGAAAATTTGCCCATTACTTCTTCATTAAACCTACTACAGTTGACCTTCTGCATGTCCATTTTGATTCCTTTGAATTCTTTCCCTGCATCGAATTGTTGGTTGTCGGTTGACCACGTCCTGGTATTGTCATTATTTTGAGGTTCTTGAACTTTTCCTGCTTGAAGAATTTCATTTTTTGGCATTGTCACGATTAAAAATAAAAAGAGATGGTGAATTATAATGAGTTCTTAGCCTTTTAAGTTTTTCTTTTCTTGAGTTGCTTGTTGGACAACGACATACAATTCATGGCTGTTGATGCCATTTTACGTCTGTGGAACAATATGGGAAAGTTACCCCTCTTCATGTTCTTCAAAGATACAAGGTATTCTTCATATTGCAATTACGTCTTTAAATCCACCTTCTATTAATTTAAATTGTTTTGATTGTTGCTAAAAGATCAATAGCCATAAATGACAATCTCTTGATAAATCGAATTGCTTCTGATTTAACCTGCTTGGAAGTAGGAGCACAATCCGTTAACCTAAGATTAAACGATCATCATGGTTTAAACCCAGAATTCATCTCAATCCCCATCTGAAACCAAAAAAGAAGAAACCCCATGCTGTCAGGCTTCTTGGCTTTTGTGATTAAGTTGAACTCTGAAGTCTGAACCATCAGTTAGGTTGTTTTATTACTCTTTGATTATATTAAACTAATAATGTATAGTTTGATAACAACTTTGCCAGGAATGTTCTCAAGAAGGATGAACTGGGTATAGAAATAGCACACATTGCGCTTCCTGCAACACTTGCTTTGATGGCAGACCCTATTGCTTCTCTAATAGACACAGCATTCATTGGCCGTATAGGTTTGTGGTCACTTTCTTCTGGCTTGATATGGATATATAATTATAATGTATATATGAGACTTGTACACTTGCAAAGACAAAATTAACTTATTTTAGGATTGCCAATATAGAAAAGTTGTTTGTCCCTTTCTAATTATGCTACATATCCTAGTAAAATGATGTGGGTTTTTTATGTTCTTAACATGAAATTGTTATACAGCAGCTTATTTTGTTCTTATTTTGTTATAATATTACCATAAGATAAAGTAAATCAATATTATACAAGCCTCATATTTCATGTACAAGCAAACATTTTGTTTTAATTGCTATTTTGAAAATAGAAGCTGTGAATCAGTTATAGTATTTGGTTTCAGTCCATATATCATTTTTCATATAGGTTCTGTGGAGCTAGCTGCTGTAGGAGTTTCAGTTGCAGTTTTTAATCAAGTATCAAGGATTACCATGTTCCCACTAGTTAGTATTACTACTTCTTTTGTTGCTGAGGAAGACGCCACCAGCAGATCAAGTACTGAAGTGGAGCAAGACGAAAACCTTGTAAAGGGCTGTGTTGTTGACCTTGAAATGGAAGAACTTATGCCTCTAGCTGGTATGCTTTCCCTATATTCACTCCCCTGCTTTTGTTGAAAGGCTAATCTGAGAGTGGATAAATTCCATTCTTACATAAGGTTCACATGCATGAGGTTCTTTATAGTCTTGATTATATCTGTTACAGTTAGCATGTTATGGCTTATCTATAATTTTAGTAATGAGAATCCTCATGCCTCATTTGTAGGCGACAATAACACAAAAATAGCCAGGTCTGAGCATGAGAGAAGGCATGTACCATCAGCATCTTCAGCTCTGGTTATCGGTAGCGTGCTTGGGATAATTCAAACTTTGTTCCTCATTTTTGCCGCTAAACCTCTCTTACGTTACATGGGTGTAAATTCTGTGAGTGTTCATTTAGTAATTCCCTTGTTGCAATTTAAACATTGATTCTCAATTCGTGCATGTGTTATAAAATATGAATGAATGACTAAAGGCCCCATTGATGCCAACATAGTTCTTTCCTATTCTTGTTAGTGCAATTTTGGAGAAGTTTCTGCTTGAAAGGTTGAATAGGTTGCAGCACTTTTATAATTGTTTATGTTGCTATGAACGAACACATAATATCAGATATCGAAGGACTGATAACCAAAGTAAACATGTGTCCTTTTCCAAATTGTCTTCTGCTGACAATCAGATTACTTTTAATTCACAAAAGTTTATCAAGCAGAGTTTATAATGTTTAAAATAGCTCTTCTCCAATCACATTTTCTTAGTTGTTGTAAAGTTTCTTTGTTCTTACTGAATTGAACTGAATTGCAAGGCATTCAGATTCTTTTCCAATAAATCACCATGAGGAAAGTGCAACTCTTTCTGCTTATGTAACTCCGTTTTATAGAAGGTTCTCAGTTTAGTTTCAGCTACAGCAATTGCCTAGATTGGATTCTGCCACTTGAAGTGAACTTATCCTAATTGGTCACCCAAGAATTTAAAATGCTGCATCTCTATTATTTTGTCAAATTTCGTTAGCTTTCTATTTTTTTTGTTAACAGTAATGGTTCTGCTTTTGCTTTGTGCAGGACTCTCCTATGCACAAGCCAGCACAACAATTCTTGATATTAAGATCACTTGGTGCTCCAGCTCTTCTTCTCTCTTTGGCTGCACAAGGGGTTTTTCGAGGATTAAAGGACACCAGAACTCCTTTATATGCTATCAGTAAGCAAATTTTCCTTGTTAATCATATTCATGTTAATTTTGTTGGTGATGGAATCAGCTTGTGGAGCTTATTTGGACAATCCCGTAGAAAGGAATTCACCGAATGGGACTCTCAATCACGCATTTATGAATGGAAAACATTGCATAAAATTGCAAGGATTCTCATTATTTATGTGTCTACTTCTTTAAGAGGGACTTCACTTTTTGTGATTTAACTGCCCTTCAATCTTATTCAGTTGTTTGCAATTGTTAATGTAGTTGTGGGAGATTCAGCAAACGTTCTTTTGGACGCAATATTTATATTCATACTTGGTCTGGGCGTCAAAGGTGCAGCCATTGCTCATGTACTTTCTCAGTAAGTTATTTTCTTTATGCTAATTCATTTTTATCGGATTCTGACTTGTTGGCTGCATCTTCTGTCTGGTCTTTTAATGTTCTTCATCTGGTTAATCACTTAGTGCTTCACTTTTGTAGGTATTTAATTGTTCTCATACTCTTTTGGAGATTAGTTGATAAAGTTGATTTGTTACCTCCAAGGTTTAAAGACCTACAAATTGGTCGATTTCTTAAAAATGGTGAGTGGTTTAAATATGGCACTTAACAAACTCAAAGAATGTTGATTGATTTAATCAATCAAATTCCATGGTTCAGTAGGGAATTGTAATCCAGTTTTTTTCTCTTTAATTTTCATGCCTGTTGATTTACCTTAGTTACTTGGAAAAAGAAAATGATATAGAACACTTGCAGGACTATGATATCTGTGCGGTCGCCATTTCAGGATTTCAGCTATTGGTGAAGGTAATAGCTGTGACATTTTGCGTGACCGTTGCAGCATCATTAGCTGCTAGGCAGGGATCAACACCAATGGCCGCATTTCAGGTTTGCTTGCAGATTTGGCTGGCAACCTCTTTGCTTGCTGACGGATTGGCTATTGCAGGACAAGTAAGGTTTCATTTAATTCAATCAAATACCTAGAGGATTTTTGCTCTTGATTTCCTATTTTGCAACAAGTTATCACTTAGAGTTGGCTTCGGAACCTATCAGAAGCATAAGATTCCTTGGCTGTTCCTTTAAAAATGTGTCACTGTTTTCAAGCAGACCTTGAAAGGTGTTAGGATTAGTGCTATAGAAATGTCTTGCTATATGTTACTTCAATGTATGTTCCCCCGGTTCTCATCTCTAACCTTCAACATATTTCCACCATTTCAAGACAATCCTTGCAAGTGCATTTGCAAAGAAGGATTATGAGAAGACCATCGCAGCTGCTTCCCGTGTGCTGCAGGTACTAATATTAACATTAAACTTCACTTGTTTCACTTTTCTTCATGCTTTAAATTGCTTATGATTTCCATGTGCAGATTGGTATTATTTTGGGGTTCCTGCTGTCATTTATTCTAGCAGTTGGGTTACAATTAGCTTCCAGACTATTTACAAAAGACTTTGATGTTTTGCAACAGATAAGTCTCAGCATTCCAGTATAGCACTCTTCCTTAATCAAAATCTTCAATTTTCTTTTTCTGTCTTCGAATGCTAACTTGTTATGTTCGACATTTTCTTGCTGATCAGTTCGTTGCAGTAACTCAACCTATCAATGCCTTAGCCTTTGTTTTCGATGGAGTCAATTACGGAGCTTCTGATTTTGCATATTCGGCCTACTCTATGGTTAGTTGAATAGTAACCATTTCTACTGAACCAACAAGTTATCACAAATTGAATATTACATTTGAATAAGCATCAGCATAGTAAATGCACAGCAAATGTAGAGCAAATGTTTAAAGCTTTCTATGTCGTTTCTTCATTTAATTTTCTTCAACCTTTTCCTAGGTTTTGGTTGCAGTTATGAGCATCTTTTGCTTATTCATACTATCCTCAAGCCATGGCTATGTTGGCATCTGGATTGCTTTATCGATCTTTATGAGTTTGCGGGTGTTTGCTGGTGTTTTGAGGTAATAATACCTCTAGGTAACAAACTATGGTTTCATTATCTTTCATATTCTGTTTGAGAAGTAAACAGCTATGCTGTTTTTCTGATAAACCAAAGAAGAAACTTTCACTTGATTTGAAATTGGAAAATTCTATATGATTCTAACAATTTCTCATCCACATGTTCAGGATAGGAACTGGCATGGGGCCTTGGGGCTTTCTCAGGAGCTGATAGCTGTAAATATATTAGAGTTATTTTGTTTCTTTGACTCTGCACTTTCACATTACCTTAAAAATCCAACATTAATGTTTATCATTAAAATGAATTTGATTCATTGTTGAACTTCTTGCAGTTCTTGTTCTATATTTGTTCATGTTACAAAGCAGTATGTTCAATTTTTTTTCTCAATTTAGGTCATTGCTTCAAGATGTTTGCCATAAACTATCACTCAGATTGTAAAATATGGTTGAGACATAACTGATAACCATGTCTTACTTCATTCAAAAGCCAGGAGGTAAATAATTGGAAATCTTTCATAATCAAAGCTATTAAAAGAGAATTTACCACCGGTCATTGATCCGTTGGTATAATATTGAACTTTTAGTTCCGGTAATCAGAATTCGATTTCTGACAACATAAGTGCCAAAAAAAGCTATTAAAACTGTGCAACAACTAATGCCAGAAGTATATACAAACAAAATCAGCTGAGTAAGCTTGGGATTAATGGATCATTAGCCATTTACTGTCTTTTACTACAAATATCAGTTCCTTGAAATACCAACCTAAATTGAATCTCTGTAAAATGGGGAAATTGGGAAGCCTTTCTCTCTCATGAAATAGATTAATTATCTGTTATAAGAACATGGCTTTAAAACTGAAGAGGACCATTGACCTACCAAAGTTTGCAAAGTCTTGAATTTAAAATCTTCAAGCACCCACTTTATATCATGAAAATTCTGGAAAATCACAATTTCATTAGCATTCCCAGATAGCATAAAATTATATTTGGATGATCAACAAAAGCTCATTATCACATTTGATATATCCACTGTCATCTAAACTGGGGGTGTTCAATTCATCAGTTCCTTTAAAAATTGTGGTAATGAAAAATAGCCCTTTTTCTGGATGATTTATTTGGTCACCAAAACCTATTTTCTGAATCATATAAAGGGTCAGTCCAATGAGTTATTAAGTAGCCTTGCACCAACTTCCTACCCCACCCTTCACAGCCTTGCTTATGTTTTGGTCAATGAACCTTTAGCTAAAGCATGCCTTAAAATGGGGCAAAATCTAATATACAAATACTATATGTCATTGGTTTGTAAATTAATATTAGAGATTCCTACTTATCCATTATAAATTGAACAAACATAATTCAACCCATCCATTATTCCAAACAAAATGAAGAGAGATTTTTTAAAAAGTAATAATATATCAAAGCATAATAACATTATAAGAAACCCTGTGGCATTCACAGTAAAATTAACCATCCAAAATAAGCAGTTCCTAGATATAAATATAACAATTAGTGTATTTACTCACTTTTTATAAAAAAATATTTTTAAAAAAGTAAATTACAACTTAAAAATAAAGAAAGATGTTACAAATGTTATAATTTAAACTTTAGATATGATGAATACCGTTTTTAGAAAATGACTATATAACCAATTGAATTAAATCTTAAATTTATAAAATTAATAATTTAATTTAATGAAATAAGGACTCTATTAGTAATTAATGATTATTTAATGGTGTTTACAAAAGTTTCACATTCCTTGAATCATATTTTATATATGGCATTGATAGACACACCCATTGAATCATATTTTTATAGATGGCATTGATACATTAGAATTTTAAATGGTTATAGCAGTTGATTTTTTTTTCTACAACTCATAATTTATTAAACCGACGATTGGGTTTAATATTTAATTCATATATTATGCATCTCAATTTTCAAACTAATAAATGCTATATATATATAAATATATAAATGGAAGGACATTTTTTTTTTACCTAAGTAGGCAATCTTTTGACACCATTTTCTTTTACCATAAATGAAACCCTACAATGCCTACCAAACTCAACCACCAGTTCCACACCTCCCAAAATAACCTAAAATGAGAATGTGATGTAAAATTTGCTTTGTCAACAGCTTCTCATATTCATATAAATATAAATATAAATAAATATATATACAAATTTAAAATTTAATTCAATTAATTTATGTTATCACTTTTAAAAAATAATATTTAATAAATATAAATTTTAAATTCTAACACTTGCAATTTTTTATTCTATTCTTAAGTTACGTACATATATTTCATAGAAATATGAATCAAACTTTGATACTGAAAAAGTAAAAGAAATCCACCACTTGAGTTTTTGTTTGATTAAGTGGGAGAAAAAAGAAAGAAAATAACAGGAGAATGAATATGTGACGATGGTATCATCAACTTTCTACAATTCTACAACCTTTATTTATTTTAATTTTTTTTCATAGAAAGCAAATGAAATTACCAACTTATTTTTTCTCTTTGTTAATTTTAATCTTGAGTGTCCAAATCAATCCTTCTAAACAAACAAAGAAAAGCTTCCCATGTATGATTCCTCCAAATGAAATTCACTTTCAGAACCTGAACTAGTGTCCAAATTCCCCTTGCAAGAGCATTTTTTGGCCACTTTGTTGCAACTTGATTGCTGAATTATTATATTATTTTTTCTTATTTAGATTATAAACGAATTAAATATGAACAAACAAATATATATATGTAATTTATTTGTTTATTTTTAAAAATATTTATCTTCGATTCGTACTCATTAAAAAATTATTCTATTCATTCACATTCATTCGTTTAAATAATTAATTGTTTGTATTTAATTTATATTCATTCAATTAAATTAAACGAATTCATTCATAAACATTGAACAAGTATATTTATAAATAATAAACAAATCATAACGAAAACAAATTTATATAAACAAACCCTAAACAAACATAAATAAAGATAAACTTTAAAATAAGATTAAGATAAAAGATAAAAATATAATTTTATTAATTTTATTATAAACGAATAATAAATAAACAATAAACGAACGAACTTTAAATGAACTTATTCAATAATGTAAACAAATCAAACAGACTTTTATTTGTATTCAATTTATTAATAAAAAAATATAAATATATTATTCAAAATTATTTGTTAAACTTAATAAATGAACAAAAATAAAATATTTTCACGAATAACTCTTTTTATTTACTCCCCTATTTATATATACACTTTTTTGTTTGCTTAGTTCTTTTATAAATGAACTTAATTTGATTAGTTAAGACTTACAAAGAAATTTAGAGCAACTAAGACACCGAAAGTTGAAGAGGGAGGCAAGCTCCACTCAACTTTTTCTTCGCTTTCCTATTATTTCAAGAGATGAAGCTTGTAAATTTAAAGGTTGCAACTATAATTAATGGTACTTTTGTACACTTCTTAATCCCAAATATAATTTGTAAAATATGAGGGTAAAACAAGCCAAAAAGACAATTATGGAGAAGAAACGAAAAAGAAATTAATTGCAGTTCAAATATAAGTTACAATCAGGATATTGAAATAAGAATTAAGCAAAGATCATAGTTTCTTATCCTATTCTTTCCCCACATTACATGCATCAACAAAATTATTGATTCCAAACTGCATCAGAAGATACAAATCTTCCTCATTGTATAATCTCTCCACAAAATTTGACCCAACCCCAAACACTACAAAACTCTTGAGATAAAGAACTTCATGATCCATCTTAGTTTTGATTTCTCACATTGGTGATAATGAATATAGCAGAAAAAGGATTTAAGGAAACATGGGAATTTTGGTTCAGTGTCATCAAAACATCGTCGCTCATCATTAAATAAAAAAAAAGGTGAATAAAATGACAGCAGTAGAAATCTAGTTTGAAGACAAAACACCTAGCCTGGGCATAATTGCTTTAAACCTATCCTTAACCGTTTCTGAACTGTTTAGTAATAATAATAAATGGTGAAAAAATGAATTTTCCCTTCTTTCTTTGCTTTCACCTTGTGTTACTGTTTTACCTTTCCTTCCACATTTATCACCAACAAAATCCCGAAAAATACAAATGTTATTTACCAAAAACTTTGTGATGTCTCTACCTCAGGGCTCAGTGAAACTGGTTTCAGTTTTGCTGTGCCACAAGCTGATCAAGCTGCATTTGCTCAAGCCATACTCCCAACACGGCATGATCGACCGGATCAATTTGTGAGTTCATATTGGAACCCTCAGTTGTAGCAGCATTGGGGGCAACACCTGAGACAGGCGCTGTCATTTTCTCTTTGATCTCAGTGGGAGACTCTTTAACAAGGGATTGAACCCATGATAAATCGGGCTCATCTCCATTGCCAAGCTCAAATGAAGATGACCTCCGTAGCTTGCCCAATTCATCCACATTGACAGCCCAGTCTGGCGTCCCATTGGAAGATCCCCATTTTGACCAAGAATTTACTGGGGAACCGACAATGGCAGCAGAGCCAGAGCCGAGCTCTCTAGAGCTTAGGCTGCGAAATTGTTGCTGCTTCTCACGTTGAGCTAACATGGAAACCCGAGAACTCATTGGTGAGATAGGTTCCACATTTCGAGGAGACATCCTACCAGATAGAGAAGCCTGCAATAGAGGATGCTCCATATTTTTAGGAGAAAAATTTGTATTTATAGGTGATAGCATGCTTTGCTGCTGCTGAAATTGATTGAGAACAGCAGACTTATGGGTTGGAGAGAAAACGGCGGCAGCCAATGCTTGATCAGAGTACCGTGGAGATATGCTCTCAGCAGAAAAGAGGTCATCAAGGTTTGATGGGGTCAGGGTCTTCAATCGACCAGATCGGTTCAAAGAATTAGAACTCAGAGATGGCTGAGTGAGGCTAGATAACTCGTTTATCAGCTGTTGTTGCTGCACATCAAAATCCGGCAGCAAGTTGAAGTCTTCAGCTGGAATATCTCTTGCATTAAGAGAAGATCTCAAGCGACTAGATTGAAGATTGCTTCCTGGTAGATGCAGGGCTGGAACATTAGGCTGTGGCCAAGCAACATTAGAGTGAGACATGCCATTCACAGATGGAGACATGGGTGGTGTGAATGGTGAAGGAGACATAACAGATACAGATGAAGGTGATCCCGGCAAGAGACTCAAGGCGGCAGCAAAATCCATTGCTGTAGCACCAGAAGCACTTGAGCGAGGAGATAGAACAGCAGAGCCAGTGGAGACATACAGAGGTCGGAGTTCCTCCGCAGTATGAGCAAAGAAGCAGACTCTCCTTGCACAATTAGTACCATCCTTGCACAGCCGGGTTCGATATTGAGCAGGGTGTAGCCAGCATTCAAAAACACCATGAGCATATTCACACAAATCTCCACGCCTACATGCCCCCTTTCGAAAATCAGGGCAGGGAACACAACTGTAATGGAACTTTCTAGGATCCCGCCTTCGAGCATTCTCCCCCGGGTGAACAAACGGACACTCTGTCCAATCATGGGAGTAGGCACGGGAACAAGGCCGCACCTTGAATGAATACATCCGAAACTCATCAGTTGAATAGATGCTGTTCTTGATGTCTGGAAGAGATGGATCAATTGGGTATTCTTTCTTCTCTGATGCAGAAGAAAGAGGAGCATCAGTTGACTTTGACTTCATTGGGGAATCTGAAGCAGATGAAGGTGACCCATTTTCCTGAGAGGGCGACAGAGGAGGGGAGTTGGAATTTGCAACGGCTGTTGACACCCTTAAATTCCGCTCAAGAACAGAACTCTCAGTTGCAAGGAGTTCTTCAAGAGTTAATTTTACAGCTTCAAGCTTCGGAGGAACAACAATAACATCAACAGGAAGATAACCATTTGCATCAACCATATTTGCATCAGCACCAGCTGCTAAAAGTAGCTTCACAACATCAATAGCATTCACAGCTCCACCTGAAGCAGCACAATGAAGGGCAGTGCTTTTGACATGGCCACACACGCGATTAACATCAGCATCTGATGAAGAAAGGATCAGTTTAATAACATCAATACTACCATATGTAGCAGCAACCATCAAAGGGGTTCTCTCCTCATTAACCATCTGCTTCGAGCCCTTCTGACGTCCATACCACAGCCCAACCTCATCAACACAAGAAGGATCGCGTTCAATGGATCGTTTAAAGCCCTCAACATCATTATTAGCAGCAAGCTCAAGCAAGCTTGCAAAAGTATCTTCAGTCTCTACGGTCAAGTGATTCATAGCTACGCTAGGATATCTGCTATCTTCAAAAGAAATATTAGATGTTGTTGGAGACGGCGAGTGCTTTAACCCCTCCGATCCACAGCACATGCTTTCATTTGATAAGAATCCAACTGAGATTTACAAACAGCACCCATTAGAATCAACCTGTGGAAAAACGTCAACTTCATATATATGATCAAATATTCCATAAGATATTATTGTAAAAAAACCAAAAAAAAAGGAAAATTAAATTTAGATTTAGAACAAAAGTGACTTTAAGGTTCAACATCCGGATAGATCATCACAGGGGAAAAAGAAGAGGAAAAGCATACTCCAGAAGAAAATAAAAATACAACATAATTTCCCTCACTTTCAGACATAATTGCCTAGAACCAAACAGTGTCTTACCAAAAAAAAAAATAAAAATGAAGATTATATTATTTATTATTAGTATTATCAAAAGAAATTAGAGTTTTAAGAATAAAATATAGGGTTTAGCTGAAGACAGGAACTAGAAAGAAGTAAAACGAAAATAAATAATGGTCTGTTTGGCATCCGACAAAAAAAATAAAGAGGATGCAAAAATTTTTTAGGCTTTCATCTTCAAAGGTTCCAAACATTAAGAAAAAGAAAACTTCACTTTTAACTTGTAACAAGGTTTATTAAACTGAAAATCAAACAAAACAACATTGATTTTCTTCCATTTTCTTTCTTGATTTTCATTCAATATTTTTGCAGTAACCAACTAGAAGATCAAAAACATAAACGTCTGTAAAAATATTATTTTTAGAAAACCTTAAAACACACTATATTAACATTGAAGGATCTTGAAACAAATCTTTCAATGGTCATCACTAACAAACTAAAATAAATTTAAAAAAACTAATATAAAAGAGTAACATAGAGCAAAAGAAGTAGATAAAAGATCTGATTCTGGGGCAATCAAAATCAAAATTTTAGCTAAAAGAAGAAGTGAAAACAAAAACAAAAGCAGAAAAGCCCCGTGAACAAGATCTTTCTTGCATGTGATCATCCACTCATTATATCAAAAAACGGTTTATTTTTAAGTAAAAAAAATAGTTAAAACTAGAACAGGAAAAGAAAACACCTTACCAGTTTAAGATTCCATCTCTGTTGTAAGAAACCAATAAAAAGGAGAGGTTTTTTCAGATCTACTTGGAAAAAGAAGAACTGGGTCTTTGATATATAGCTTCAAGAGTGAAGAAAAAAATTTGATCTTTAATTAGACTTTTGTGGTTTTTTTAAAGAGAGTTTTGAGAAAAGGAACAGGTTCTTCTTCTTCTTCCCATGTCTATTTCCTATGTTACTGCTGCTTTTTCTTTCATGGAAAAAAAAACCAAAAATAATTTATTAAAAAAAAAAAAGAAAGAAAGAACCCTGTTAAAGGAAAATTTTTTAGGAATTTGTTTATTTGTTTTAGATAAAATCGCCTATATCCAATTCCAATAAAAAATAAAATAAAAGATAAAAAAGCAAACGCACTGAGATGACGTTAATTGAGTGTCGCTTTGAATATTCCTGCTGGCCAATCAAATAGTAACGCGTCATATCCATCCGGGAAAGCATGTTACTAAAAATTAAAGTTAAGGTTATTTTTGGGAATTCAAAGAATGCGATTTTCCTATTTTTGACGTGGCGTTAATTGATTGGCTTTGGTGATTTAACTAGGGCAACCCTTTGACAGGCAACCTAAGTTGTTGTGTAATAATTTAACCTTGTCCTTAGGTCAAATTCCTTAGAAATTCAATCTAAATTCACGTTACATGACGGTTAAATTTAAAAAAAAAAAACAGCTATCCACTGCAACTTTTCTTACCGGAGAATTCGCAGGAAAACCTGAGCTGGCACCGTTTCATTGGCTCTTGTAACGTAAGGAAATCTTTTTTTTCCGAAATGCCCTTGATGTTTTGAAAAAAAACAAACCGCATCCCATTTATGACCAATATGATTCTGACACCTCATTATTGTCAATCAGGCAAAAGAAATAGCTTTTAAGTCTTTAACTAAATTGCGAACGCAACTGAGAACCGGTTGAGGAAGTGGAAGGGGAGAGGTGTAACTGGTTAGGTGAGTACAGGGGGGAGAGGTGACCGGAGGTGGCGGTGAAAGCGCGGGCGTGCGCGAGGAGGAGATTGAACTGGGATTTACAAAGTGGAATGGAGTCCGCCAATAAAAGGGATTTTCGGTTTCTAAGCGTACAAAAGGGCGGACTCGAAAGGCATTTGTCAAATTTGGTTAATTGTGGAGTCAAGTCACAAAGAGGCAAAAAAAGCATGGAACACCAACAACGTGAGAATTTTTACAATCTACAATCTCTAAGATTTAGTGACAATTTATAAAGTATAGAGTAATTATGAAAATTAAGAAATAAATAATAAATAAATGATAAAATTCTTAGAAAGCAAATAATATTTTTTAAAAAATGAATAAATTAAATGGGAAACTATTTTATTTTAATTGACCTTACAAATCAAATCCATTGCCTTTTTCATTTTAACTATTTAAGGGTTTTTTTTTAACATAAAGAGAAGAAATCCATTATATTTTGAATTTTATATTGAGATAAATGCTTTCTCATCTATAGACTATCAATTTTACTTCATTTTCAAGATTTAAATTGAGAAGCAAAAAAATTATTTATTATAAGAAAATAATTGGTGGTTCTTGTTTGTCATATTTTTCTTTGTCCCAAAATGCATTTTTTATAGTGTTGTGCATTAACTTTGATGAAAAAGAAAGTGGCACAGTTCTACCTTTTTTTTTTTTTAAAGAGGCATAGTTCTTCTTATAGTAGCATCATGTATTGGCAAATCAATGGATTGGATAACCTTCCGAATCCAATTCTAAAACTCAATATGTCTAATGTGTCTTTTTGGTACTGAATATTGTTGTCAAAAAATGTGTTTATATATATATATGTATATATGTAACCTTTCTATAATTTATATTATACAATTAATGTCTTAAGAAAACAATAGATTTAACAAATTATGTGTACTTACTTGTATTAGTACCAAAGTTGTTAATATTGTTTCGGACAATATTTAAAATTAAAAAAATGATATATGCTAATTCAATTATTTTAATATATTATTTCATATTTTTTTATTTAATGTAAATATACGTAAATTTATGCATAATAATATTATTAATAATAAAATATATAAATATTTTCAAAATCTAAATAAATAAGTTTTAAAATATATGAAATGATATCATCAATATATTATAATATTTTTAAACATTTAATCTGATCATATAATATTTAAAATAATTTTTTAATGTAAATATTAAAATTAAAACAAATAGATGAAAAAAATTAATTTTTGTTTCATGATTGTTAAACATTAAGAGTGCAATATTTTATTGAAAGAAATTGAAATAATTACAAATTTTAGTTTAAAAAATAAAATATAAAAGAAAATAAATTACAGTAAAAAAATAGAGAAACTTAATTTTTAAGGATTATTTTATCAAATTATTTTATTTTTATTATATTAAAAATAATTAAAAATTAATTTTAAAAATTATAAAACATGTTCCACATTTACCGATCAATCAAAACATACAATTCTATCAAAATAGTCAAAAATAACAAAAATAATAAGTATTATTCGATATCAAATTTGATATGAAATTACTTTTAAATTTATCGTATTTTAATATAATTCAAACGTATTGATCATTATCGTTGGTATTGAAATGAAATTAAAATTATTGATTAAAATTAGTTAGACTCATAAATATTACATTTTCAATTAATCTGAAATTTGATATATATAATTTATGTCAATAAAATATAAAATTTATTATTATATTAATAAATATAAACTGTATAAAAAATATGAAATGATATAAAATTATTTTAATTTTACACTAATATAAATTAATTTCTTTATATATTCATTAAATGCCTATATATATATATATATTGGGCAAAAAAAGCATCTAAATATATTTGTAATTTTAATCTAATTCCCATGGAATTTGTCCATAAAGTATATTCTACATCGTTTGGCAAATCGAATTATTCCATTCTTTCCTCGAAAGCTTTTGCTGTGTACTTTATTTTGAGGAATTTCCCTTTTTTTTTTTTTGAGCGAATATTTGTTTTTGTTTTCCTAAAATTTACTAATCAACGGTTTTCTCACTCTAAAATTCAATCGACTACTTAACAACTCAGTACCACTTGTTTTTGTTTTTTTTTTTTTTAAGTATAATTTTTAAAGAAAAGCAAGTTCAAATTCATTTTTATAAGGAAATACGTTCACATTGAGTAAAATACTTGTACATATATTTTTGTTTAAAGAGTTAAAAAATCTTTGAAGTAATATAATTTTGTTTCTTGATTTAACTATTTAATCAAGAAATGAAAGTAAAAATTCAAGTAAGGATAGCATCGAAGTGTATTAAATCAATACATTATTAAATTTAAATTTAATTTAATTTAAATTTTTTAAAATTGATGATTAATATACATTTAATTTGATCGAATTTTATTTTTCATACTCAAATTTATTTTTTAATTTATTAAATGAAGATATAATAATATGTATTAAGTGAGAGTCTTTAAATCCAAGCTCCCATATGGCTCCGTCACTTATCCTTGGTTAAGTCGAATTATTTCTTTATAGTAATTAAAAATTAGTATTTTTTTTTTAACATGGAACATGTGATAGATTTAACCTGAAATTCAAAGGTGTATAGTTATTGATGTAAATATACAGAGAATCAACCAACATGTGAGCTGTGACATATAGGTTCATTCATATTTTTTTTCTATTTGTAGTTACACTATTTATAGTTTTTCTTAATATTTGTATAGAATTTATCTTCTCTTTGTATTTACAACATTTATAGTTTTTCTTTATAATTTTATACAGTATAAGAATTTATTTTCTATTTTTATTTACACCATTTGTGGTTTTTTTTTTTTATAATTGTATTGAATGAAGGGATATATATAAAGGAAAATTAAATAATAATGCATAATATATATAGTAAATTTAAAACTTTTTATATTTGTAGGAGTGGAACTTTATTTTTATCTGGGAAAATGAGGGACTAAAATCCAACTTTTTGAGTATGGGTTACAAGCACTACTCATTAAACCAAAATTTTAATGAGAAATAAAAATTAAATACAAGAAAGGTGCAATCTTTATTTAATCCTTTAGAGAGGGACACCTATAAGTTGTCGCGGAAAGTTCTGATCCTCACTAAAAGTCCTCGCCTTTTGTTTATGGCCGTCACTAAAGTCCTCACTTTTTCCTCCTGTTTTTGTAGTAACTTGTTTTTGCCTTTTTTAGTATATAGGTAATTTGGTTGCTCACAAATACTAATTTAAATTATTTGTTATTTTTTAAATATCTATAATTTTTGTATTATTACTCTTAAAAAAAGACCTAAACAAATAAACTTTTCGAACAAAATTTTGGCCTTAATAATGAAAACTATCACAATAAAAAAATTTATATTTTAAAAATATTTTTTATGATTTTTTTAATTTTTTTGATATTAAAAATCATGAAATTTTAATATTAAATATATTAAAATCAATGTTTTTTTTTTTAACTCCATAAAAATTAATGCAAAACAAACAAATAGAGATGAAGAGAGCATAAAATTATTGTCTTCAGAGGAAAATAAATGTTAAAAATGTTTGAATTCCCCAACCCATTTTGATAGTAAATAAAACTATTCCTCTAACTGGATAAAAAAACATATAAAATATTTTCCATAAAAAATAAATCAATATATAATAAACTATTTATCAACATTAAATATGATTTATTTAACTTAAGACTTTCAATTCAAAGGCACCCAATATGATTTTATTAAGGTTATATACATTTCTAGGACCAAGTCTCCTTCTCTCTTCATATTTCATTTTCAAACTTCTTTGTGAAATGGACACGTAAGAAGCATTGGTTCTAATTTTGACAAACACAAAGCAACTTTGCATGTTTTGTGCAATAATATAAGAATATATGGTCACAAATTTTGGAGATTTGGGCATGTAGGGATCAGATTGCACCATTTTTCAACTGCTTCTAAATCAGCCTTTTTGGACTGACTCTCTAAGGTTTTGATAAATGGGCTGAAAATTATTTTTTGGAACAAAATCTAACATAAAAAACACCCAAATTGACAAAGATTTTTTCACTTTCATATTGGTGGTAGGCCACAGCATGAAATGGACTATTATCATCTAAAAATTCAATTTTATGGGAATTTGATATCGTAATGTCCGGTTCAATAACATATTACTTTTTATTATTTTAATATAATTAATTACTTATGATTCAAAATTATAAAAAAATTTATCAAAAATTTATATAAAATTTTTATTTATAAGTGATAAATTTTTATTACAATTAAATAATTATAAACTTATAATAAAAAAAATTGTAAGAGAAATGATTCTTTGATTGACTCTCCCACGGAGACCAAAGTCAAATCATTCCAAATACTTGGCACGCCATGGTTGCATCGACCAATTCAATCAAGGGACGAAAATCTGTATGTTTGGTTTGTGGACTTAACCAGAAAATCAATGATAGATTTAGTGGTCTAATGATGAAAGGGGCTTGCACATTTACTATAATCATTGTTAGTTCAGTTTGCATATCCCTTCTTGTCTACAGGCATATTGATTATTTAAATTTATATTATTAAAATTATAATAATTAAATAAGTTGAATAGAAAAATAGTTCTTATATTATATATTTTTTTTATTAATTTGATAGTTAAAATAATAAAATTCTCATTTTACTGTTTAAACTTTCATTTCGTTAAATATTTTTATATTTCAATCTAATATCTTTAGTCAAAATTTTTATGTGGTATTAATTTCAATAAAATTATGATATATAGCTTGCATTGATTTAAAAAGATTGAATAACTTATAGCCTAAAATTTTGTTAAAAAAAAAGTTTGTGTGTGGATGTATAAGCAATTAAATTAATTGAGATCAAAGATTAAATTAGAGATGTAAATGATATATTATTATTAATAGATTATTTAGGTTAAATTTGAATAAAATTTAAATTCAGTTAAATTATTATTAGTTGAGTTTGAAATCAACTATTAATATATCGATTGAATCGAGTTCAAACATTATTATACTTGATTCGAATCGTTTTTGAGTTTAATTAAATTTTTATATTTTAATATATTTTAATTAATTAAATATTTCAAACTCTAGTTCGAATATAAATAATTAAGTTTTTATCAAATATAAAAATCAAAATTATTTTTTCATATTAATCAAATTTAATCAAGAATTTAAATAGTATTATTTTTATTTCGAATAGAATTTAAGTTAAAAAAATAAAATTTATTTGAATTCAAATCAAATTTTAAATGTTAAATTTAAAATCAAATTTAAATTTAAATTTAATATTATATTAATTTAAATTCAATCTACACTTTTAAATTAAATAAGACAAAGCCAGAATGAAAGGAGATATATTTGGTCATAAATAAGGGGAAAATCTTGGGTGTGGTCGGGTCATTTTCATTTGGGTGATGGATTTATAAATGGTTCAATAATTTTATGGATTTGCCTTCCTTTTAAGTGAGGATGTCTGTGACTGACCATTTATGTTTTGGGGGTCCTTTAGCAACCAAAGTCAGACATTGTGCTTTTTACATTGAACTTGGTTCATTTTTAAATAAATCAACAAAATCTAAAGATTATTTTTTTTATTAAAATTTTGATTGAAAAGCACATGGGTTTTTTTTTTTTCCCCCATCAAAATCACTTGATTATTTGACTCGAGCTGGGTTAAAATCTCTCAATTTCTCAAGATTACTTGATACTTCCTCGTTTCAATTGGGCTAAATGGCTTGGCCCACCGAGTCAAGACTAGGCATGGCGTGACTTTTATAAATTGACATGGGCTCTCCAAATTAGCCCAACCTTCCCTGGGTTCAATAATGCTAAATTTCACCATAATCCCATTTTATTTTATACACAGTTTTTTTTTTTTATTTTTTTTTCTGATGTATGAAGATTTAATCTCAACTTTTTGAGCACCGGATGCATGTTCTTATTATTGAATTAAATATTCAATTTATTAATATTTTAAATATCATAAATAAAATAAAATAAAATATGTATTTATTTCCACGTAGATGTTTTTCTTATTCAATACATATCAATCATATTTATTATATGTAAGTTTGCCTATTAATTCATATTATGAAAGATAATTAAATTCGGAAGAGTCAAAATATGCAAATAAATATGATTATTATTTTTTTGGACAAAAAATATGATATATATCAAACTAAATTTTTATTAATAGCAATTTAAAATACTAATGGCAAGTTATGATTCATTGATATTTAATAAAAATAATATAATATATCCCTTTGTTTTCTAAGGTACCTTAATAATAATATTTATTATTAAAGAATACTAGTACCATATATATTTATTGTAATATTTAAAAAATAAAATAATTTTGACTTGTAACTCTTCTAGCCGGTGGAGCTTTTTTTTTTTTTTTTCTAAATTAAAAACAAAAAAACCCAGAATCACCAGTGATATCATTGTCCAGAGCCCATCTTTTCTCTGTGAAATCATTTCATTTTTACAACAGTCCATTTCTATTCTCCTAAATTTGGGTCCAATCTCTTGTGGCCAAAAAGAAAAGGGTCCCATCTATGCCTAAAAGTTCCAATTTTTTTTTAGTCCAACTGCTCATCAAAATCACATATTTTAAAATCTTTTTCAGTTCATTCATGCATAACAAAATAAATATATATTTTTTTCAGTTTGATTGTCATATTCATTCAATCCTCTTCAAATCTTGTTGCTTTGGTCAAGTTTTAAATGCTCAATCGTCGATAAGGGCCACGAAGGGCACCCTCGGATTCTTTGTTTTTTGGTTGTGGTCAAGGCGGTATATTCTATGCCTGCTACTTTGATTTCTTGGCTCTTGGCGTATCCTTTCAGGTACCAAACTCTGAAAATACTCACTTGGAACTATTATTCATCTTAAGTTTTCTTTCTTTGATTTTTGTTTCGAATCCCTTGAAATTTTAAGTTTTTAGCTGGCTTTTACCTAATAAACATTGAAATGTGGTTCCATAACTTTGATTAAACACAGATAGTTCACAGTTTTAGAAGGTTGTGGTTACACTTTTCTATGAGCTGCATTATGCTTGGTCTTGAAAAGCATGCACTTTGCCTACATCCTCCTTTATCTTAGCCTAATTATATGCTAAATGAGGTTAAATGATTTAATTAGTAACTTGCTTTATAGTTGTTTTTTTTGGCGGTGGTTGTTGTACTGATTTTTTTTTTTTTATGTTGCAGCTCTAAAGCATATGCAAATATGCCTGAAAAGGAGAGATTTCTCCATGGTTGTGCCCTCCTGCTGTGTATCTCTCTCGGGTCTTTGCTACTTGGGGTTGCAGTTTCAGAAATTCCATTGGGATCAAAACTGTCTGCAGAAGAAAATAATTCTTGGGTTTCTTCTAATGGTGATTTTGCAATTGGGTTCTATAACCGCCCTGATCAACGAAACCAGTTTAGTGTTGGCATTCGGTTCAATTCAAAGTCGATTCCTGTTGATAAACAGACAGTGGTTTGGGTTGCCGGAGGTGATGTTACTGTTAGTAACAACTCCTATTTCCAGCTTCAAGAGAATGGGGAATTGGTTCTTTTTGATGCCTTGCAGAGTCATGTAGTGTGGACCAGCAAAACAAGCCAGTTATCCGTTGAGTTAGCTTTTCTTCGGGATGATGGCAATCTTGTCTTACTGAATGGGAAGAAAGATGTAATTTGGCAAAGCTTTGATAATCCAACAGATACGCTTCTTCCTGGCCAGCGACTTTCTGCTTTTACAACATTGAGAGCTGCCAGTCAAAATTATGTTTCAAGTTTTTATAGCCTCTACATGAATGTTTCTGGTCAGTTACAGCTAAGGTGGGAAAGCAGTATCATCTATTGGAGAACAGGATGGCCTTCTCATTCAAATCTCAGTGCTGTTCTCACTCCTGATGGAAGCCTGCAACTTGTGGCCCCAAATTTGGGACCTGTTTGGTCTGTATTTGGAGAAGATCATAATGAAACTGTAAGATTCAGGTTCCTCCGGCTGGATGTGGATGGTAATTTGCGGTTATATTCATGGATTGAGGTTTCTCAAACATGGAGATCAGTTTGGCAAGCTGTTGAGAATCAGTGTAAGGTCTTCGCAACGTGTGACCAGAAAGGCATCTGTGCATTTAATGCATCTGGTTCCCCTGTTTGCACGTGCCCATTTCACCACACAACTCAGTCTAATTCAAAATGTTTGGTTTCATCTCAGCATGTGTGCAAATCAGGGTCCATTATGGTCGAGTATGCCAACATATTTCTTTATGGAATTTACCCGGTTAACGGTTTTATCTCCTTAACCAGTTTAGACAAATGCAAAAGCATGTGCCTAAGTGACTCAAGTTGTACTGCTGTAACCTTCTCAAATGATAGAAGTGCAAAATGCAGGATGATGAAAACTCAGTATGTCAGTGGTTATTCAGATCCCTCTCTTAGTTCGACCTCTTTTGTTAAGAGGTGTTCAGACCCCATAGCTGCTGATCCCTTCTTCCCATTGAAGTCTCCGCCACAAGCACATAAGGATTATTATAAGATTTGCATTCCTTGTTTAGTTGGAGCAGCCTCTGGCACAGTATTTGTGTTTGTTGTGATTCAGTTGGGAATGGGATTTTACCTTTATAAAAGAAGAAAATCTTACAGGAGACTGGCTTCTTTAGCTTATTCCAGTCCTGATTCAAAATGTTTAATCATGTTATCCTTCACTGAGATCAAGGACCTGACTGGGAATTTCAACAACCAAATTGGGCCTAAAATGTTCAAAGGTGCCTTACCCGACAACCAACCAGTCGCAGTCAAAGAGCTGGAAGCAACAATTGAAGCAAGAAAATTTCGAGTTGCAGTGTCAAAGTTAGGAAGCATTTATCACAAAAGTCTTACCAAGCTGGAAGGCTATTGTTGCGAGTTGGATCACAGGTATTTAGTCTATGAATATGCCAAGAATGGCTCTGTGGAGAAATACATAGAAGATTCGACACTGGCTGAGAGATTGACTTGGAGAAAGAGAATGGAAATTTGCCTAAGTGTCGGTAGAGCCATATTTTATTTGCACACTGAGTGTAGAGAATTTTTATGCCTTGGAAATTTGAAATGTGAAAATGTAGTCCTTGATGAAAATTTTGAGGCTAAAGTGAATGAATTTGGGTTGGGGTTGCTTTATAGTGAGGCATCGTCTTCCTCCCATAGGGCTTCAGCACATAAAGACTTGGAAGATTTTGGCAAGATGGTTTTGACATTAGTTAGTGGGTTTAAAGACGTGAATGATGCTTTTGATTGGGCTTACAAGGAATGGATTGAAGGTCATCCGGAGAATGTAGTAGATAAAAGACTCAAGGATGAAGTGGATGCCAAGGAACTGGAGCGTGCATTGAGAATTGCATTTTGGTGCCTTCAAGCGGATGATCGTCTGAAACCCTCAATGGGGGAGGTAGTGAAGGTGTTGGAGGGCACACTTCCTGTTGATCCTCCTCCACCACCTCTTAGTTGTTGGAGATCATCAAGGGAGCAAGAAGACTCATCAGAATTAGGCTCAGAGACGTAGGATTGTAATGTACAAGTGTGATCGTTTTCATTAATTTTTCTTTTCTAGTTTTATATGGTAGGATTAGGACTAACCCTCACAGCAATGACACTCTGAGGCTTTATTCCAAAAAGGGACATATGCCATTTTTTCCCCTACTGATGTTAGTGCAAAAACCATGTTCCTTTTGTCAAATAGTCATTCTTTTCTTCAGCATTATGGCCCGGCTTGTTCTTGAATTTTTCACTTTCAGTTACTATAAAATGGGGCATTCTCTGGTTGTGTGGTTCTCATTTCTCTATGAAAATTTTAAAGGTATGAAGGGCTGAGCATAACCACTGGCTGGCCAATAGACAGAGCATACTGGTTTGGACTTGACATTAGACCTGGAGTTATTTCTTCTTGATCAATCCTGAGTCCTGAATCCTCATAGCTGATAATAAGAAGCCGCTTAGCTCTAATGATCTGAAAGTGTGACTGAACATAATAAAAAATCATAGCCATCAATAAAACCTTGACTAAGTTCGGAGGAAATTCAAATTAGACTGTTTAGCCATAATGAATTGTTTTTTTTTCCAGCTTACTAATGTCTTCGTTTAAATAATGTTAAGGGGAAAGCTTTTAAAATAAAAAATATTTTCATATAAAGAGTTGTGGGTTTCTACATTTGAAGATCAAAGTTCTCTGGATTTAATATGATTCATTTACTAGTGTATTAATATTTAAATAAGTTGACATGACATTAAAATCAACATATGAAGAGTATGAATTTAAAAAAATTTATATGTTTAATGTCCTCATTAACTAAATAATTATAAAAATAAAAGATATACGAATAGATTAAAAATTAAAACTCTTTTGTTGGCCTATGATTTTTCAATTTATAAATTCAGTAAGACATTCGCACGAGAATATATTAATTTTTTTTTTTTAAGATTTGAACTATTTTTTAATACAAAATACACTTACATATCATTACATTTAGCCAAAAAAAAAAAAATCATTAAGTCAGAATTTGGAATATGAATATGCTTGAATTTTAAACTTAGACAAAATGTGCCGGTAAACTTTGATGTAAATTATGGAAAAAAGAAAATTTTATTTCAGTGCGGCAACCAACCATGGACCCCTTGAATTATGAATTTATGATTACAACTATGAAACCACAAACATGATATGACCATTTACTTTTCTTTTCCCCGCAATTAATATTATTAGACAAATTTGGAGATATCTTTTATTCTATTACAAAATAAAAATAACTTTTACTTTTATATATTCATTTATTTATTTATTTAAGCTTGGTTTAGAGAAAAAATTATCTTAGCCCATTAATTAATCAAGTAAATATCAAGGACTCATCTCCACTTGTTAGAATTTGAGATTTTATTTTAGATATTTTGAGTTCAAATTATGAGATATTTTGTAATTGTTATGATATTCTATGCATTTTATGCCTTCTATGCACTTTAATATGAATAGGTTTGGGCCTGCTCTTCATCTACTATATTTTAATTTTATTTGAATGAGTTTCTTTTTTTTTTTTAAAAAAGTAATAATCATAATCTAAATTTTATGTCTGAATTAAATTAAATACACGGTCGACAAATCTCATGTAAGATTAAAGGGTTTGACAGCCGAAACAGTAAGGCCTGCAAATACAAGCCTTATATTACGAAGGCCCACACAATTGAAGGAAAGAAAAATGTGTTCTTCTGATGCTTCAGTCACAAGCAAATCCAATTAGATATGTCACATCCTATTAATAACATTTCAACTGCACTTGTTGAAAGGATTTAATTTGGTTAATTATAAGAAAATGCGGGAGTGCAATTTTGAGGAAAAAATCATATAAAAAAATAAAACAAAATTATGGTATCAAAATTCAAGAAACAAATGTAAGACGAGTGAAATTTTGTCATAGTATCTTTTAACAAAAGTACTTAAATAAAATATTAAAATTAGTTTAAATTATTTAAAATTGTATATTTAATTTATACTTCACAATATCAATGGACATATCAAGACTTCGATCTTTATATGCAACATTTCAAAAATAAATTATTGAATGGACTAAACAAATGTGATATTTTTTTTTTATATAAGTCATGAAAATATGAGAAAAGATTGTAAATATTAAATTTTAAATTTTTTACATATTATTTTTTAAAAATGATTATATAAATAATTAAATTTAGGTCAAGAGATAAAAAAATTCTTGAACTAAAATTTAATAATTATCAAAACCCTTATTATTTTTTTTGCAATCAATTAAACTTTCAAATATTTATTTTCATAAATTAAACTCTTATTAGAGGAAAAGTGGTTAACGTTTTTCGTCTAATTGATGGCTTAATTGAATGAAAATATAAATGTTTAATTGGATGAAAATAGATATTTAAGATCTCAATTGATTTAAAGTTAAAAATTTTAAAACTTAATTGATTGTAATAAAATATCAAAGATTTAAATGATTATTAAATTTTTATTTGAATTTTTCTTTTTTAGCTTTATGGCTTAAATTTATTTATTTACCAAAATATTTTACCATCTCAATCGGCAGCCATGCACGCGGAGCACAGTGCCAACGCAATTTTCAACTTCAATAATAAGGTGAGGTGAGTCCATAAATACTGAAACAAAATTGAAGATCTTGGGCGAAATTCTAACTTAGAGATATCGATCTCTCTTCGTCGACAACGTGTTTCAATCTTATCAGGATTTGGTAGAGTTTGGAATAAAATTTTAATTTTGAGTGGTAGTAGTTATTTGCTGCTGTAAGATTATATTGGACTGTACTTAAAAAGTTTAAACCTATAGCAGAAACTTTTTCCATTAGCCAAATTGTTAAATCAGTCCCTTTTGGAATATGTTTCTGTTTGCTATGTTTCAAGCAATCCCTTGTCAGGTTTTTGAAGTTGTTAGTGGTCTCTTTGTACAAAGCTAGCTGTGCTCCAGAAACCCAGCCATGACAAGCGAAGACAGCTCTATTTAATACAACACACACTTCATCAGACGTCTCATCGAGTTTTACGATTTCCACCATGCTTGTCTAGCCTAGTATATGCTATCCTTTTAGTTTTCCCAAATGGCTCCAACTGCAACAAGAAGGTCGAAAAATTGTTGCAGGCGGCTAGAGGTCGAAAGAGATTGCAGCCTGGAATCATCAATGGAGTTGCCTTGTGATCTCATTGGTGGTAGTAGTACTAGTAGTTGTTGTAGCAGTTCCAGTGACTCATCATCCAGGATTAGTACTACCGCTGACAAGGAAGACAATAACCCTGTGAAAGTTTTGCAGACTTGTTGTTCTACTCCAAAGGGTCAAAGGTTTAGAATACCAAAGGTTTTAACTTGTCCACCAGCTCCAATGAAACCCAGAGTTGCTCCAAAGTTCTTATCTAGGAGGTCTTCTGCTATCACCTTCTTTGCTCCTCCAGATATAGAGCTTTTCTTCTTACTTGCATTTCAGAATGTCTCATCTTAAATTAGTCCTTTAGCTCTTCTCTCATTAGCTTCGATTCTTCAAGCATCAGTACTACTTCAGCCTGTTTAAGAAATGACTAAATGTATGATGTAATGTTAATTGTTAATGTCATCTGTTAGGATTTTCTATGTGTTCAAGATGCCTATAAATAAATATATGAACAATGTATTGATCCAAACTTTGCTTACTGACCAAAAATAATGCATTCAAATAATTTGATGTGAGATTCAGAATGCATGTTAGAGAATCATGTGAGTTACTGAAACAACCTCAGCCAGCTACCTCATTCAATAAAAAAATACAGTAAAAAAAAGAAAGTGTAGTTGTTAGCTGTTTTTTAAATTGAAGAATTGAGATGATCTTCTCCCAGTTAATATATTTTTTACTTTTTTATTTTAGTTGGGGTCAACTCCATAAAGAAATATATGCAGAAAAGCTTCTTTTGAATGTAAGCTCATATATATTGATTAAATATTCTTCAGCTTTCTGCACTTTCTTTCATAACCTTTTTGGAATTGATAGGGACATCTATTTCCATAAAATATAATGTTGCTGCTAGCTTCCATGTGCATGTTAGCTAGATTTTGCTTTGCTTTTAGTTCTTTGACATATAGAAAAGTTTACACATGAAGCTTCCCTTCAACAATAAGTTCTAATTTTTCCAAACTCGGTTTGTAAACAGTAATCATGACTGGTAGATTTTAGGGTTCCTAATTTTTTTTTTCACTAATTGATTTTGGACAATCTTTTGCTAGAAATAACATTATGGTAAAAAATGCTTTGAAAAAATTGAACTGTTCAATGTTGATACTATATAAATGTTAATATATCAGCATGGCGTCATAATTATAACTTATATATTATTCTAAAAATAAATTACAAAATTATTAAATATTACTAAAAATTATATATAATATTTTCACTGCGTGGATAGATGCAAAAGAAATATAATAAAATAACATAACAGCCGATAAATAGTCAACAAGTTTCAATTGCTGTTTTGGACAAATTTTCAAAAGCTAATGGAGCTTTTACATTGTCAAAGATGAGAATGCTTTGTGCATGTATATATACATTTAGGAAGAAATCAATTTATACAAAAAAATTTACATTTTTTTAATTATTTATTTTAATAGATTAAGAAATGAGATTAAACTATTTTTTTATTTGTTTCACTCATCCTTAAATTTATTAAAATCATAAAAAAATATAAAATTAAAAAATTTTACAATAATTGATCACTTTTCATATAATATATTATATATATAATAAAAATGGTTTTCTTTTTTAATTAAAAAAAGTATTGGTTTTTTTTTTTTTTAAATATCTTAGAATATATCTCACAATCAATTCCTTTAAATCGATATTCTAAAACAAGTACTATTATTATTTTTTCAAAAGATTCATGTAATTATATATATATATATATATATGTCTTGAAATCTGGACTAAAAACCCTCTTTAATATTTTAAAAACAAATTATAAATGAGTTCTTTCAGTAATCAAATGTAGGTTGATGCAATAATTATTGTTCTTGATTGATAATGGCTAAGAATAGGGATGGTATTCAATGGGATTGGCTGTGTTCTAAGTTAATGCTGAAAATCGAAAACAAGATAGACACAATCAAAGGAAGAATATGGCTACTTTTTTTTCACTTTATTGGGTGAGTTGTGGATCGATTAGATTTTGATATTGATGGGCGATGGGCGATGGCCAATGTTTTTGGTATTACGTGTGTGCGTGTGCGTGTATCACAGATAGTGGGAAGAGAATCCAATGAAACACCCTTATGCTGATCTTCGTTTGTGAATGTGAAACTGGCTGCTAATTTCACCCATCAACATTTCTAATTTCACCTTGATTTTTCATAGCTACACATCATGATCCTAACCTGATTTTTCAGTTGCCAGTTGTAGTTGTGGGGGAAAAACAAGTCTATCCTAAATTCCTTTGGCTTGATCCTTTAGTGACACTCTACATTGATGCTAGCAGATTCTTCTTGGTATTTATGGTCGGCAAGTTAATGATCTTCATCGAGCATTTGCCTGTTCAAATCCACTCTTTCCGCATCGATTCAAAACTTTAGACAATTAGCAACAATTTCCTTTAATTATATTGGATATACAAAGTAATTTACAGAAGACCATACTGGCATTTAATTGTAATAATTCTTGACACAATCAATCAGAATTAGAAATATTGAACATATATAGATCATAGAAGCAAGACACATAAAAAATCAAGCTATATATAGCTGTCAAAGCAAGTTAAATTAATTAATATATATAATTATAGCTTGAGGAACATTTTATGCAGTTGTAGCTCATGATCTATGAATGTAGCACTTTCCTCTAGCAGCAGTTTGAATCAGGACCTGTCCAACCCCTTCTCCAAGCCCTTCAATCAGCCCTCCAATGAATTTTATCACCACTTGAGAAGTAAGCCTAATTGCAGTCCCAAGCATGCTTGGCTTATCCTTGCCTTTGATGCCATTGGCTTGAAGTCCATTCACCATGTTCTTAGCACAAACTGCATGGAGATGATAATCACAGATGGTGCAACGGTACATTCTCCCTGATCTCCTCCGATTGCACTCTCCGCAGACAAAGCCAGCAGTGTCCCCATTCAAAGACTGGCCTGGCACGGGCAAGAGCCTTAGAGGGTGTGGATGGACTGAAATGTTGATTTCTGTTGACAACTTTGCACAGCATGGGTGCATCTGAAAATTGCAGACAGTGCATTTGAAAACGCATCCTTTGGTGGGCTTGGCACAAATATCACACCTCGATTTCAATATTCCCCCTTTAACTAAAATCATAAAGATAAAGTTATGATCAGTATCAAGTATCAAGATATATTGAACACAAAATATAATTTAACTTTTTTTTTTTCTTTTGTGTTTGAAGCTGTCATAAATTGAATTGAATTTCGGTCACTGAAACATCAATCCTCAGATTTTTAGTTGACAATTTAGCTACTAATTGTATACGCATATATGCCCATTGCAAGTAAATATGTGGTATAGATATGTTTATATTACAAATTATGATAGAATTCACTTATGAGAATATTAGCTTATTAGTTGAAAATTTTCTTTTAATTTGACATTTTATTAATTTTCTACAATCCATCATTTTTTGATGCTCTGTCGATAAGGACATACCAATTAGCTTGTTTCATTCTTAATAGCAGGGAGGAAATTAAGTAGCATAAAACCAATGTCTTCATCTGGAAAAGAATGAAGCTTTAGTTTATAGAAAACCATGCATTTCACCCTGTCTTTATTTGAATTGTTTAAACATTTTGCAAATGACAAGAGAATGCTTCAAATTGGAAAACTGATAAAAGAAAAAGAGCTGCGATTAAGAAAAAAATGAGCATCATTCAAGCTGCGTTATGCGTTTTGGTTCATAGTCTTCGGAATCTAATAGCCTTTACTAGCTATGGCAATTTTTTTCTTCCGTCTATTTTCTCGGATAGATTAATCTGAATACAAAATATTAAATCTTTATCTTTAAAATTTGTATTATTTACACGTGGTTGTGTACTAGTATTCATATATATGCTTAATTACAAGTGAAGAAAGGAGAAAAGAAAGGAAGTAACTAAAAAATTACCCGGTTTTGGAAAGAATATGATGTTGTGAAGGGGATGGATAGGGTGTCTCTTAAGAGCTGGAGGCGCAAAGGCGCAGAAATCATGCAGCTGATAGTCACAGTCAGTGCAAGTGAAGCGCATGCCGGCGCCATACTCCTTGCAGGCAGCGCAGGTGAAGAGGTCAGGCAGGGTAGTTTGGGAGATGGGGTGTTGGGGGTGAGCCACAAGGAAGATTTCATCTCCCAGCTGGGGAACCACAGGGGAGGTTAGGGAACCAACTGTATTGGTTTGTCGATGATGAGGTTGATCCATGGAATAAGGGAACTTGTTCTTTTTGCGAAATTAAGTGGTCTTCTTCGCGGGAGGATTGTTGTTCATCATCTTTATGCTCTTGTATAAGCTAGTGGTGCAATTTGCAATGACTGATGGTGAATATTTATGCTGGAAAAGTTGACATTATTCCATATGGGTTTAACTTTGTAAGGGAAAATAATACCAAAAAAAAGGGGGCGAAAGTAAAGATCATTAACCAATAATGGGAGAGTAACTAATTAACTTTATACTACAAATTTTTATATCAGTAATCAAGCATATGTAAAATGTTTGGTTTAGCTTATGGATGAGTTTTTTTCATTAAAAAACAAAATCAAGATATTTAGCTTTTAAATTTTAAAACTTTTAGCTTATGTAGAAAGTCCCTTAATTCAGTTTTTAAACAAAACTATAATTTAAAATTTCTTAAAAAGTGTTAATGTGTAGAAACAAATTTTAGCATTGATGACCATATCGAACTATATCTTGAACATAGTTTTTAAAAGATCAATTAAGCATGATTCAATCCATAAATGCCTCTAATTTTTAGGTATAGAAATTATTTTATTTTTCACATTTTTGGTTCTTAATTTGGTATTGAACCTGTTTTATCTTTTTATGTGAATTTATATCTTTTCTTTAACTTGGTTGCAAATTTATCATGGTTTTACATAATAATTATTGGATAAAATATATTTGTCCAAAATTAGGTTATTTGCCAAAGCTGGAAGGCTCTTATGATAATTAAAATGGTTTTTACAAATACCATTAAACCCATTAAATTGCTGGAGAAAAAATTAGGCTTGCTTAAAAGACCGGATTGAGTCTTGGTTCCATCTAGGTATTCAATTTTATTTTTTAAACAATATTGTCTATATGATAATAAGTAGAGTAAGTTAGAATATAATTCCGTACATATAGATCTTTTTTTTTGTTTAAAAATTTTAAAAATAAGTAAATTTCCACAAAGCATAAGCACATTATTTGTTTAGAAATATAAATATAATTTTAAAATATAAATTAAACTAAATTATAACCCGTGTGATATGCGAAATAATTTTACTTATTTAATATGAATATATATATATATATATATACAAATTATTTTTTAAAATTATATTCAAATCTTTAAAACTTATAATATATATATAATTTTTATATATTGATTTGTCATTCAAAAATAAATTTTCTAAAAACAGTAAGAAGAAAATTATGTCTTTCCTTTGGATATTTTTATTTACAATAATATTTATATACATGTAAGATTATATCAAATAAAAATAAATTATACCTTTCTTAAAAAAATAAAAGTATATATCATTGAATGATAAATTAAATAACATTATAAACAAAAAAATTTGCAATTGTAATAGAATATACCTTAAAAAAAAGTTGCTAAAAAAATAAAAAAAACTTGATATATAACATATTACATTTGTAGTCTTAAATTTGTCAAAAAAAATTTTAGTGGCAATTAGGATTAAATAGATAATTTTAAAATTAATTTTTTAAATTTTAAAATGGATATTATAAGTGATAAAGATAATATTAAAATTTTTTGCATTTATTTGAAATATAAATTTGATAATTAAAGTTCAAATTGATATAATCATTTTGATAATTTTATTATTTAAAGATTTAAGATGAAAGTTTTTTGAATTTTCAAAATCTTACATAAAATTACTAAAATTTTTAATATTTTACGTAAATTTTTTAAAAAGATAATTTTTAAAATAAAGATAAAAAAATTATTGAAAGATTTAGATAAATTTAATTTTTATAAATTTTAAACATGTTTAAAAGATTTTGATAATTAAATAAATTTTTAAATAAGGTTATTTGGTAAACAACTAAAATTATTTACTAAAAAAATAAAATCCACATTTCATATTTTTAATTATAGAAAATATTTCTCTAAATTGATTTGATTTTTAATTATAATTTGAATAAATTTAAAATTATCTAATTTATAATTTAAAAAATTATCTTATTTTTTAAAAAAATTCTTATGTATCATTTAAGAAAATTATTCATATGAATGCTTATGTGACAAATTTATTTATATATGTTATTATAATATATATATATATATATATTAGATTAGAAAACCTGAATTAGTATTATCTTAATTTTTTGTATTTTTTTCAAAGAAAAAAGTTAGGCCATGTCCCTTAAAACAATAACAGTAGAATACGTATAAAGGAACCCAGAAACAGTTTTATTCTCGATGACAATGACAGTTCCGAAATTGAACAGACAACACATTCAAGCAAAAATTCATAATTCTACTAGTTATTAATAATAATAATAATAAAAAAAGACACAAAAAAGTTAGGAAATTGGTGTCTAATTGTCTATAGATATATAATTAGATACCATTGGCACAAAAGTCACAGGTTTTTTTTTTTTTTTTTTTTAAGCTTTTCTCCATGTCATGTCATGATTATAGTGAGTCCCATACAACACTATATGTATGGAAGCGAATCCAAATCCTTTTAAGAGAGCTGTAAATATTATTCGATATAAAGGTAGCCAACGAAGAAAACATTGCAGCCTTTTTCCTTTTATTTTTTTTTAGTGAATTGATTAATATTAGCTGCAGAATCATGAAAATTGGAGATTGTTCAATCAATGTTGTACGTTAATTTTAATCTCCATCTCTTATTTTAACTTGTTTTTATATGAGCTGTCGTTGTGGAGTATCTTTAAAACATAAATTTAATAGGATGCCTTTCTCAATCACATTGACTAAGTGTCACTCTTGATTCCCCAATTATTTGTTCGTATTTCGCAAGTGATTCTCCGAGTTTTTAGCCCTTTGTCCCATCAAATTTCAACACAAGAAAGAAATTAATCTTTAGTAAAATAAATCAAAGTCAGTAGATTTGTAACAAAGGGCAAGCTAATATAATTCATGTTAACTGGTCTAACAGTAGATATCTGCATTAAATTATTTTTCATTCAATTTTAAAGTAAATTTTGAAATTAAAAAATATAATTACGATACAAATATTCATCGACAAAGAAGAATTTTCACTATAATTAACATGAGTTAGTGCAAAAATTATATTTGAATTAAATGGATCAATCCATGTAAAACATAAAATTTCATGTTATAATACTATCAGAAAAATTATTTTTATTTGATGAAAACTTTTGTTGTTTAAAGCTAATTTTTCATTGATAATAACATTATCGACGAAAAAATTCTATCGGCGTTAGCTAAGTTGGTAATATTATTTTATTGATAATAAATAAAATTTGTAAGTAATTATTGATAATAAAATTCATCAATAATATGTTAATACATCTATCGATAATGTTAATTTTTTTGATAGTATAAGCTGAGTCGACACAAATACAATTATATAAAACAGTCCAATACTATCAGACCTAATCCATTAGACTACAAAAGCGAATCAAAGTCCTATGAGAGGGTATATATATATAAATGTATATATTCCGTTTAAAGTTGAGCAACAATGGAAATACTGCAGAGCCATTTTTACCTATGGTGTTCCTTTATGTTAGTTGCACAATCTTGAAAAATGGAGATGAGCACCAAATATCTTGTAATCTCAGTCTCTTATTGAATTTCTGTGTGCTGTGATGAGTTATAGTTGTAGAGCATCTTTCGACATAAATTTGATGGGTTGTATTTCTCCATCACCTTGACTAAGTGTCACTGATTGATTCTCAATAATTATTTGTTTGTGTTTTACAAGTGATTCTCCAAGCTATACTTAGTCTATTTGCTTTTCCCAATCAAATTTCTACACAAAGGAATCTACTAGGAAACACCCAAGCAGGAATCAAGCTAGTTCATCTTTATGACTTTATTATATGCATTCTTTGCTTTAGATAGGCAGTATCTTCAAGCTTCCGAAATTCATCCAATATATTAATTATTTGTGTTGCTCATATCTGGTATTTTAATCACAACAATTTTTTGTTCAATTTTCATTCCTATTTGATTCATTTTTTTTTTAAAATAATAATATTTCATATTACTTATTAATATTTTTTTTTTCAAAATCGAGTTGAATTGAGTGTATTTTAATCAACAATGTTATCGGTATTAGTATGAATCAATTTTAAGGAAAATCAATTCAGTAAATTGTACGTATCATTTCATTTTTCATACCAATCATACTAACCGGCCGGTACAAGGTTTTTTCTTTTTTTCTTTAACTTCTTTTAATTTTTTAATCAATTCCTAATGCCTTTTCTTTGAATCAGGAACATTTTTTTTATATAATTTTATCCAAAAATAATATATGTTCATTAAATTAGGTTATTGAACAATAATTAACTTGATATATTTTTCTAATATTTTTATATTTATTTTATTTATTTGAAGCTTGAGAATTTTAGATATTAAATGTTTATAACTTTTAAAATTTATATTTACATATAAACATATATATATATGTATGTGTAGCTGAACTGTAAATATATATTATAAATAGAATATTAGATAATGCCAATAAATTCAAAACGATACATAAAAATAAACAAGCGAGGAAACTGAAATCCACTGCCCTAGGGCCCAAAAGCCCAATTAAAGACTGTCGTCGGCTCAAATGTCCAATGCATCTAAGTTGACACATTTTGTTTTCAAAAGGGCCACATGTGAGAAAGGTCTGAAAATACTTTTAGGCAACCTAAAATTGACGACGACGGTTTGAGAGATGATGCTTTTCATGTGGGCCTGATATAATTATTGAAAATATATAGAATATAATATAATAATTTATTTATATAAATAAAATATTAGATATTATTAAAAAAAAATTTAAAGCTTGAAAGCTATTTGAATCAGTACTAAATTTGGCTCAACTCAACAATAAATGAAAAGAATTCATTAGATATTTATTAAGTCTGAAAAGCTCGATTCATTTATACTTATTTGGATCGTAAAATTTGAATTTAAATACGATTAATTTTTGTTAATTTCAAGTTTGCTTTATTTTTTGTTAAATTATCGTCTTTATCTTCGATCCATAATCGATATAACATTATATTACACAAAACACACGATTATAAGAATCAACATTACGACGGAA